GTTGTCAGCACTTCAGCAACGTATTGTCACATTAGACTTTTTGAGTTTTAAAATTTCGACATTCCTCTCTTCGGGAAATCGCCCAGCCGCGAGTTGCGGCGGGAGACGGGAAGCCGTAATGCTGAGCTTGCCATAGATTGATGAACTGTGATTTTGCAAGCTCAGCACTAGAGAGTCCTCCTGAACTCGTGCCGGAGCTTCGGAAGATAGAGTCTGTGCCGTGGCCCACGGCGTAATAAGCTAGGTAAGTAATTTTAGTAGGTTTTTTTTGAAAATTTTTTTGGATCTTTTTGGGGGTAAATAGATTTTCTTTTAAGTTTTTTTTTTTAATTTTGAAGTTTCATTTTTTTATCTTTTTGGAGTGTGGGTTTTTTTTTGAAGATTTTTGGGGGCACGTGACAATATCCAAGACACAACATCTTTAGATGTAAATTTTGATACATTTTATACAAATGGAGCGTGATAAAAAAAATTAGTAAATAAGTACAAATGCTGATAATCGATTTTGTTCATTTTTGTAATTTAGAGATTTGAAGTTTTTGGTTGTGGTACGATAACTAACGCTAAATGTAGTCATATCGACATTTACTTCAATCTTTAACTACTTTTTGACCCGCTCTTTCTTGAAGTGATTATGTTTTAAAGTTAAGGGGATGTTTGCTAAAAGAAAACTATCGGATTTTTAATTTTGCCGTGTTATTGTCTTCACAAGAAGTTTGCGTGTAGAAAAATAAAGACGAGAAGTAGTGGTAAGCTGTTACTATCTGACAAACGTCTTTTAAATGTGGCTTTTGGCACATTAAATTGCCGATAACATTCGTTCAACCCTAGTTGATTTTTACGAAAAGCAGTTAGTGCGTTATCCATGTCCTCTTCGCTCCATTTATACCTACTTCTTTTTTGCTTGTTTTTCCGGACCCATCTAGTATAAAATCATAGTTAATAGATTATAACAAGAAAATTTATTATTGGGCATTGTAATACGAAGTTCTAAAATTACGCGCCTAGATAGTGTGACGTGATTGGTCAAATCGGGAGCTTCTTCAATTAGACCGGTCCAAATAAGGAGAATCTAAAGTGGTCCAATTTACGCGCTGGTACAAAATTTACTATTTTCTTGTGTTAAAACGCTATAACGAAATAAAACATACTTATTTCTAGGTTAGGTTCTTAATTTTATTACGCTTTGACCAATGTAGTCTTTGTGCACTGTATTTATGAAATAATTTAGGCTATATATCCTTACAAAAACATGCGAAAAGTTGTATCACAATGGTAGCAAAATTTCTTTGCAATTTAACAAGCAGACACTTACCGCTACAGAATGGAATTTTGCACAACACTGCTTTGGCGCCAAATACTTGCGAATAATATGCACTAGATGTCGGCAACTATTCTAGATTTTAAAAAAATAGGGTGGTTCAATTCAGGCACTGGTCCAATAAGGGGGACTTTCCCCTACTATATGTCATGATGTAATGCAAATTATAAAATAAACTAGAGACCAATAATTTGTTTCGTTTTTATTTATGCGTATTTATAAATATACCCAATTGTTTTACTTAAAACTAAGTACTTCAATTATTTGGTTTACATATTTCAATTATAACTGGTTCCCTAGCTGGTTGGTATCGGCTAAGTTCAAACTAAAGAGGTATAGAAACTACCTGTGTATACTGAATGGTTATCCGGCTAATTATAAGGTTTATGGTAATCTTTTATTCAACAAAATAAAATTCTTTCAGGTAATACACTTTGATCTTTGACAAAAAGCCGAGAAACAATAGGATTGGTGATTATATAAAGTAACAATAATAAAATTTCTATTAGTAACATTGACTTACACTTTATGTAGTCAAATGTAGTGTATAAAAACAGCGGCGGGTCTAAAAAACAATCATATTTATAAATTTATTTGTACAGAAATTAGGAAATAAAAGCATAATAATAGTAAAACTAATCAAATGATGATTAAACTGCATTTTTTGTCTGTAGTTTTAGTGGGTTTTTGACATAATAATTCTGATAAAAGTTTTTTCGACTTTTTCGTGGCTTTGAAAGTGGAATCTTCGACTGTCGTCCCATTTCAAAATTTACTCTTTATATATTTCAATGGTCACAACGAGTTCACTAACTACACTGAAGTAAATTTATGCAAAGATTAAATTTGTCACCGAAAAGATGTCGGAAGTAATAAATTATCCCATCGGTCAAAGAACGTTCGGTGGGTGTTATACCCCGATCCGAGAGAGACCGCAGTAAGAGACAGCAAATGGAACGAATAAAATAAAGCTTCAAACATGATCAGTTTTAAATCAAAATTATGAAGTTTTACAAATCGGGCATTTTTTTTTTCTTTTTTAAATATCATAGTAAACACTTCAAAGAATGTCCATGACTTACTTTAATGTGAATTTTATAACTATAGCCGGCACAGTCGGACCTAATATTGGCGTGATTTTGAGCATATTTGCGATTTTATTAGAGCAAAACAGGTCATTTTTTCTCCAATTTTATAAGTTCCGGACACTAATAGCATATCAAAGATATTGTAAAAAAAAAAATTGGGTTCAGATTCCAACTAGGTGTCTAGTATTTGTGAAACAAAATCTACTGTAAATTCACTGAAAACTAAACCGATAACATCACCTTAACAGAGACATACCTATCTTTAAACATCTTGATTATGTTTTAAATGTGATTGGTTTTCAGCGATATGCGAACAATTCTTATAAAGAACACGTATTCGTAAATAAATTATGAAAATGTTTTCTTATTAGTTAGTAAGAGCATTTTGTAATGTTATACATTTCAGATTTGTGAAATTGATACTAAAAACAACAGAAATGGGCCTAAAATTATATTTACACATAAAACACTTACATTTACTTTTAGTTAAAGGTAACAAGTATAATTTAAATTTAGGTAGATATATGTTGTGTAACTTATCTAATGTATATGTTTGAAAATTCATTACTTTAACCCGTTGCTATTAGTGCTTTTTCATATTTATTTCGAATTTAATTAGTGATGGTAAAGAAATAACTGAAATTTATTTTCAATGGCCCGAAAGCAAAAAAAAATACGGAAAAAAATGTCTTCACAAAAGTATGGAATCAAGGAAGTCGGCCAACAGGTATAACATTTTTCTGAAAATTACATTCATTAAAACAAATAACGTTTGTATTGTGAGGGCAAGACGACTATGTGGAGTGACTAATTTTGTACACAGTGTGGAGAATGTAATTTCATTAAAACAACAATAACAAGTGTATATAATATTGGCATAAGATTTACATAACGGTTCAAATTATTCATCAACATGAATATTCCGCAAGTGTTGCGTTTTACGTATTCATGACGTGAACAAGAAGTTCAAGACAGTGTCAAAGACGTCTCAAAAAAAGTCTGGGAGGTTGGCAACGCAGAAGCTGCGGCAGCTTTACAAGCTGAAAGAACTGATTTACCAATGAGATACTTGTTATTAGAGCTACTGTAGATATATATATACAGTGTGTTATTGAAAGGTACGTACAACAAAATGGACAGTTCTTCGCGAAGTCTAAGAAGTCGGAAAAACTTATTTTATCTTATCAAAATTTTAAGGGGAAAATTAACCCTTATCCAATCTTTTTAGACGCTACTGAAGGATTATTAGGTAAAATTAATTAATTTTAGTAAACCCTAGCAACTGTAACAATAAAACTTTTGTCAAGACTAAATGTTGCTATAGAAACGAAAGATGATCTTTTTATCAGAGGCGTACAACGAATTTGGACATAAATTTTAATAATTTTTATCTCTAAAAGGAGAACACTTTTACCTGAACTTTTTTTAACTTTATGCACCCATACTTCGAGACCAATTGCCCATTTTATTTTGTACGTACCTTTCAATAACAGGCTGTATATAACAGACGCTACTACAAAACTAAGTAATTATAAAATTCGTTAGAAGTATATAACATGTATTATTGCACCTACTAAAAAATCTTATCTTGCTGAAGCAAAAACAAAAGACTGTCTCTATATGTACATTGCATTTCTTCTTCATATTCTTAGATCCTTTACAGTCCTCAAAAATTCTATCCTCATTTAAGTATCAAAAGATTTCTTTAGAGATTCTATAATATTCTTTGATATCAATCCAATTAAGTTACCAGTTCTTTGTTTTCAATACTAGTTCTTAAAATGATTTAATATAAAGTGCTATCATGAAAAACGTTCTCAAGTTGATGCTGGACGAATGAGTTGCCTTTTTCTTCGTTTGCTGCCCTCAATAAGGAATGAGAAAAGTAGGCAAAATCCCATCCCATTCCATCCAAAGTGCTGGCCTGGATAAAAAGAACTGACAAATTGTCCATCCCTTAATTAAATTTGAGAAAAAGTTTGCAATTGTTAATATCTATTTATGCAATAATTAATTCAAATTAACAGGCGGTTTTCCAGTAGAATGTAAACCACAAATCAACTTATTGTATAAAAATTTGTTAAAGAAATACAATAAGTAGTGCCATACTGTGGTCGTCTGGTAGTGCATTAAATTTAAATCAAGGATAAATGTTTATTGTTTGGTTAAATTTTATAGTTACTTCAGTGATAAAAGCAAAAAAAAAATCGGTCTTTAATATAGAACATGGAATGATATTAATTTACTAAAAAAAAATTAGCGGTAACTTCATGCAATTAAAATCTAGCTATTATATGTAGTTATCACTGGTTATATCAGTATATTATAGTGGACATTGTCAAGTTTCGTTAGTGGTGGCATCTATTCAGCTTTTAGGAAACTAATATATTTATTGCAGATTTTTATAATTGTTGGCTGTTTGAATATGTATAATTATTATTATTTTTAACAAAAACTGAAATACTAGGTAGTTGCTAAAAGATTGCAATACAATTATTACAAAAAAAATCAAATAATACTATCTAGACGAGCTAGGGAATTTTGTTATACTGTAGTCTTGGGTTGGTACTGTAATTGGCACTAATGGTTTTTATAGTTTTTGTCATTTGTCAAACAAAACATATTAAAGTTTATTACAATTTTTACCATAATCCTCTCTAATTAATTTTTTATTTCGTAAGAAATCAACTAATATTTTTTTATTTTATATATTTTAATTTACTAGGTGCTTTGTATGTGCATTTATGTCACATTTTTTTTTCAAGTCATAACCTTATATGACCTGTCAAGTAAACTCTTACTAAATAAGCTGATTATGTTGTGGTAAATTGAATTAACCCTTGATATCAACAATAAATAATATTAATAAATGCTTATTTTTTAGATTGATAGGCGTTTCAAATTCGTTCATGATAACTACAGGAAGTTTGATGGCAAAACATTAATGTAATTTGTAATGGTAGTAAAATGTACATAAACAGTTGTTATTTCACTTAAAAACCGTAAGATGTTCAATTCAGGGATTAAAGGAAATCAAAGGTAAAGTCACTGAACAGCAACAAAGAAAATTTCACATATCGATAAACTTTTATGTGTGCTGTAGAAGAAATGGAAACTTCCGCTTTAAGTCAAATTCGTAGTGATTCACTCACTGTATATCATACATGTAAGTCATAATTGTGATGAATTTACCTTGTTTCAGGTGTAACGGGTTAGTTCCACCATCATCCATAGTTAAATCTAGAACTGTAGGACAAACAAATTATTCTAAGACAGTAAAATCATTAGGGACTAAGGACACATACAATAATGCTGATAGAAAATTGGAACCGACGTTTATTAAGAACTCAATTGGTTATACGAATTCACCCATTCATTGTAACAGTGATCTGGATAGCAAGGTGAAAATTGAATTTGATGAGGAAGATATCGAAACAAAAATTATTAGTCCCAGTATTATAGGTTAGTTGTTAAACAAGCCTTTGAGTGAGGATACATTGAAAGTTTTAGGTTTAAGTGAAGAAAATGTAAAAACGCACAAATCTCCAGCTGTGAGGCCTCGTTTAAAGTGGGGAACTATCAGGGCGACCCACCATGAAACCCTGCAACGGATAGATAACATAGACGACTTTTATAACCATTATCAACACTACTGGTTTAGTGCCAGTCTTGAAGTAAACTCCCCGATATCAAACCCCCAAAAATCTAAATTTCGCATTTTCAGAGGTTCAAACTGGAAGACAGATCAAGGGAGGAACGAATAGAGATCACCAGACATGAGTTCACGAGGCATTTACAACAAATCATGCGAAGTAACGTGGGTAAACGTAACAAGTTACCAGAAGCATCGTCGCAAAGTAGTGACGCTTTAAAAGCTAGTAGTAAAAATGTGCATCAGGCCGGTTATGATAGACTGGTTGCTCCGATCGTGTGTCAAGTGGAAAACTGTCTCCTACCAGCACTGCCTTGCACCAGGCATTGTACGTTACATATTATGTTAAATACAGACCAAGTGTTGTTTGGTTATTGTACAGCCAAATTTGCTGATAACACTCAATGTTCAGTACCTGTTTTTGATATAACACACGAATTACCCCTATGTCCTGAACATGCCCGAAAAAGGGTAAGGTGAATCACCATTTGTGTACTATTACTATTATCTGTTTTGTGCAGGATAACTATAAATTATACCAAGAAGCTAAACCAAAGAAGTTACGGAAGAAAGTAAAACCTTCTGCTATGATTAGGCCGCAAAAACGCAATAAAAAGAAAAGGAAAACGATCAAAACACCAGAAACAACGACACCAAGTGCAATAATAAATATCCCTGTTACATCTGGTAAGTGCACTATTTTTGTTTATATAAGTATTTTGTATTTTATCTAATAAATTCAAAGCAGTCATTGTTCATAATGCAGTACATGAGAAGCAATTTAGATATTCCGTTTCATGTGGCAATAACTGATTTCTATTGTTTTATAATGACCCCAGCTTGGAGATAAAACTGTTTACAAAAATATATTTTAGCTTTTTAGTAGGTGTGTGTATGTAATATGAAAGGAAGTAAAATATAAACCAAGTAATTTTTATTAATTTACAGCACATAACAATAGCGCATGACCTTACTCATTGTGCCGGTCTTAATTGTGTTGAAAGTGCAATATTATTAACTAATTTTCGCTCAACAAGCGTTCATTGAGGTCTGTTGCAGATAAACTTCTTTCTACAGAGAAATTTCGTTCAGTGGAAAGTGACGTTTAATTTTTTTTTATTATTGAAAAAATAAAAGTATTGCAACAGAATGCACACGTTTTAATCAAATAATTTCAGATATACAAAATATTCAACATTTACAGGGCTTCTGCAAACTCAGTGTTTAGAATAACAACTTTTTTAATTACACAATGATTATGTTTTAATTTGACAAATAATGTAATAAACTGAAGACGAAATCCCTAATTTTGGGTATATATGACAGTGACGTTGTTTTGAAAACCGACGACTTTCCAGTGGTGGTTTTGCGCATGAACGTTCGACTTTATTTTCACGTCGTTGACACACCGTAGGACTTCTTTTTTTATAAATTATGGACATCAATAAATAGGCGTATCTTCAATTGTTACAATGCCCGAGATTCAGTCAAGTAGATCAAAGGGTTTAAATTATGTATCAGGTGTGCTCTTTTAAAGTACAGTTTCTAATAAATCGTTAATCACGCTGCTAATGGAAACGCTATTAAAATTTATTATTGTTATTACCACAACCTCGTCCAAGATACTTTATTCTAGAACAGCGTTACCACAAGAATTAATTTTTATTGCCTGATTGCTTTATTTTCAAATCAAAACCAAGAAAAACAGAATCGCACTACAAATTCATTTTTAATGTAATAATTTTTATTTACACTAAACCCAAAATACACGATCCACAAATTTTTATTTAAAAAGGACTTAGATGTTGGTATTAGAAAACGTTTTATAGGCACGCATTATGGAGATTATATTTGATCGCGAGTTTAATCACTCGTATGCTAACTTTCTTCACTGTTTTTATTTATTTGTACCGTAATCGCTCTTTACCAACTTGTGGCGGTGCAGTGTTAATTAACAAGTAAATCCTGCAGTAAAGTTCACTTTGCCGCTGTTTTTTCCAAAAAATCTGTACCTAAACGAAATATGGATCAAACTCCTCTGGTTTTAGATTTTTTGAAAGAATAATATACAGTTCAGACTCAGAGATAAAATAAAATTTGGTGATATTTTTTATGTATGTATTATTTATTTTTTTAATTGAAGAGTTTTAGTGGAGAACTGTAGTGGGTTATAATTTTTTGAGCATTTTTTAGTTCTTTTTTTTTAATATACAATGTGTCTCAATTCATCTTTGAAATGTTTATTACGTGTAAACGTTTTTTAGATCTAACTAATTTTTCGCATTAGTAACAGTTGTTTATTAAAAAATACCCCCAAATATCGAACTGTATGAAAAATCATTGATTTGAAAATGAATCTGGGAGAACTTTACAGTTATACAAATTTCAACGCTGCTTGTCAACAAATAATGAATGAAGTGGCGTTGCTATTTGAAGTGGGACATACTGTACGTTACTAAAAGTTTAACTGGCATATTTTGACCCAGTAAATTAGAAAAGTCATGTTCAAAAAAATAAAATTTTGGCACCAAAGAATTTTACCTGTTATTGTGAATAGATCTGTCTAAATATATTCATGCTGTTTAATAAAATAAAATTGCAATCAGCAGAACCCAAAGTGACAGGTCGTTAGTTATAATGTCAAATGAAGAAAATATTAAACAAATTGTATGACCGTGTTTTATTTTAGTTCAATAATTAGTGTGTGATGTGATACAGTGAAACATCCTATATTATCGTTATGCCAGTTTTCAGAAAATCCCAAGGTGTGTTCATAATAATTCTAAAATTAAAAAACGTTATCAATTTTGTTGTGGGGAAAGATTTTGATAATATCAAATATAGATCTAAAAATAGCTTTATATGAATAGCTGTGATGTCATTTCAAAAAGTAGTCGTTTGAGCAATACCGCATCTCAGCACGTATCATTCATTAAATATGTATTTAACAATATTGTGACACAACGCTTTAAACTTGATGAATTTTCTGAATAGAACGATCAAACAGATTCAGTAAATGTTTTGAACAATCTTGTATGTACTTGTAAAAAAATTATATTTAACAATATATTTAAGTGACGCAACGCATATATTGCAGGGCGTGCATAAACTATCGTAATCATAATAATAAAATACAGAAATGGAAAACCGACATTTTCATATTCTGCAAACTGTGAAACTCCACGAAAACCTGAATTTAACACATTCGTCAAAATGATTATTAACTCTAGCTAAAATTTGGGACGAAAAAAATAAAAGAAAAATAGTTTTGTTCGAAAACTGTCTAAAAAAAATCTAACAAAATTCCGTCAATTACAGTTCCATATTTTTTTGTAATACCCTCAATTAGGGCATCCGACTATTTAAATTCAATGTGATTTTTACAAAATCAGTTAAATGTAATAACGTGTTTCTAAGTTTCTAGGTTACTTTTTCAAGTCACTTACGACTCTGTTGATAAAAACTGTTCCTTACTTAATCCGATTTCTGTCTTTTTTTTTCCTCTAAAATTATAAATTAAACTTTACGTAAATATTTAGTTTAATTGTAATAATTATGAAAAATCAGGGGTTAATTTTTACTATGTTTTAATTTGAATCTATTTTTTCTATATTTTACATTCAGTCCTCCAAAACGATACCTTTCGTATACTCGCGACAACGAACAATATGACACGAGTATCAACATTCACATTCGTTTTCTACAAAAACAAGAAGATTCTCAAAAATGTACAACGAAAATATTAGATACAAGTAAGATTATTAATAAGATTAAATTCAAAAAATTGATCTCTTAGACTTCTCCTTGATAAAAAGATAAAAGTTTTAGTTCGAATGTTGATTACACGTCAAAACAATTAAGTGTTCTTGATAATTTCAAAATCAGAATAGGGGATTTAGAAAATTAACGATTGTAAACATTGTAACCAAAGATATATTGGCCAAACTCCAAACAAACCAAAATTTTCAAATAAAAAAATTGTGTAATGTGCAAAAAGTTTTTGAAATCACGATTGAGCCAAAAATTTTTAAAATTATTTAAGTTAGTAACAGTGTGAAAATTTTAAATGTTTTTAAGAACAATAAATATTTAAGAATATAAATAGGGTGTTCCATGCAGATGCTACTCCCCTATTCATCTCAAATTAATTAATTAAGTTTTCCCATGTCAATGGTGTGCGTAACGTATTGTAATGTTTGCTATTTTCGAAAAAGCAAACAAAATCTGCTTAAAAAGTCTATACTTATACACAGTAGAATTTGTAAATGTTTGTATGTACGTAATTTAGATATAATACAAAATTTCCAGTTGTTAATTAATTTAAAATAAATGTAACCATTTTTGTAAACGTCTCATAAAATTACGTTGTGACATAGGGTTATGATAGTTTGGTAAATAAAAGCACAAGAAAAATACGTTTATGTTATAAAATTAGTAGTAACATTGTCTTAACTATGCAGAATGTGCTGATAATATTTTTGAAAGTGAATTTTAGCTTATTTTGTTATTATTACCCGATAGGAAACTAGGGAATTGTTATAGGATATGATTTATTCAACAAATTTTTAAGTATCCGTCATCAAACTATTAATGGGGGCGATCAGACAACTTTTATTTAGCATTTACTATCTACACGATGTTCCTAAAATTACTTGTTTTAATAAAATCATGAACAAACGACAGATAGGCAGAAACGGGTACTTGTTCATACTCAAGGCACAATGAAACGTCGAGAAAACACTAAAAGTTGAATGTCATAAACAGTTTTACATATCACCTAATGATGTACTTGAAAAACTAAGGCACCTATGAACCTGGACGTTTTTTTTCCGAACAGACGGTATACGCAGAGCAGAAAATACTTATCTTAGGTGTCGACGGAGGTATAAAAAATTTTGCATCATCGCGTCTCCTGGCATATCAAATAAACATTATTTCTTATCTAATACTCGTAATTACAAAATATTTATTTATCCTCATTATGATGGGATTTTAAAGCTACGCAACGTCCAAAATAATCTCCATCTCTCTCTAATCCTTTTAAATTTAATTAATACCAACGTATTAGCAAGTAACAATAAAGAACATGTAGCAGTGAACCCAAACTGCTAAAAAGCTCGTGTAAGGAATACAGACGTCTCGATGCAATTTTTGTGAGTTACAAAGATGACAGTATTATTAAGGTAGTAGGATTTTTATATATAATTACCCGAGCGAGGAAAACTTAAATAATTTCAAAGTGTGAAACACAAGTACTTGCTGAAATCACAAAAGTACCAATAGATAAAGTGAACTATTTTTTTTATGATATTGAATTAAACTTTTCAACCATCGAATTGACACAGTTATACCTGATGTAGTAACCGCGACTCTCGTCCTATTTATTTTTCTCGTATTTTTTCAATGGGAAGTTGCAACAGCGTAGTGAAAGCTACTAATGTATTATGGGGTATTAATCATAGCGACTCGTGTATCAATCACCCGTGTATCACTGCTAAAGCCGATATAATTTAAAATTTTCAAGTAATTCGTAGTTGCATAGTCGAAGTTTAGTGATTGGCTAAAACCAGAACGCAACATTTCGTCCAAATATTTTTGTAATTATGTTTATATGTACATATTTATACTGTTTCAGTGTCAAAGTAGAAGATGGTTGTAAATTTTAAATTAGGCCCACAATACTCAGGCTTAACTTGAATCAGTAAATCATAATTTTAAATGTAATTTATCAATTATTTTGGTGTTACTTCTGCTTATGCTTATGAAAGTAGACACTTTCCGTGTTGTATGTATTTATATAAATACATATTACGTAAACGTTGAACCTTATCAACGTTGTACATTATCATTATCGTTGCTAGGAGTACATGCTTGAAATTTATTAATAAAAATTGGTCGAAGGTTATTTCGACAGAACTTCCCTCGTAGTTCCTGATCAAATAAATTCACGCATTCATTAATTTTTTGAGTCACGCTGTATATTCAAATCCAAAAAATATGAAAGGAATGATAAATTCCAAGGACAGACTCATCATATTTTGTACAATTTAAATAGAATTTATTTGGCAAAATCTTGAGCTGACGTCATCAATTTTTTGGAGGGGATAAGTAAATATATTTTGATGAAACATTTATCATGCTTATCATAAATGTAAAACATTTGCAAGATTTCAAAGCATTCGGTTGTGCAGATCCAAAAGTACATAATTGCAAAATGTTTTATAATTTTGATTTTTTTTTTTTTTTTTAATCTGGACGTTTCAGATAAAAACTCAATACGGAATCATAAACTACATACATATGTAGGACTGTGTTATTTCATGCAATTTAAAACCCATTTACTATGTACAAATTTGAAGTGACGTCATCACTTTATTAGTGGGAATCATTAGACCAATTTTGATTAGCGTTTTACCATCTACATGATATTCCTAATATAAATACAAAATTTGACAACCATCGGTCCAGTACTTTCGGAGATTATCTGTCCAACAAAAATCTGGACGGCAGACAGACAGAAGACAGACAGATAGACGGAAACGAGAGACTTATTTCTTCGTACTCTAAGGGACATGAAATGTTGAGAAAAAAAAAAGAGAGGGTCGGCTGACGGACTCGATTACAATACTTCCTTCGCTTACGCGCGGGAAGTAAAAAAATTGAAAATCATTGTATTCACATGTAACGCTAAATTAACCTTTGGACTAAATGCATCAGTCAATTAAAGCAGTACTTTAACCGTATTTTTTTATTAAAAAAAATCCCTTGAATATGTGAACGTAAATTCCTTTTTGGTTTTATACTTGTCGAGAAACATTATTAATTTTATGAAATTCATATAATTATCAGTGTACAAACGTATAAGTAATAATTGAGTTTAGGCAGACTGTTCTAAAAATATCCTGAAAAGTAAATAAATAAGAGAATTTCGATAAACATGTCTTTGAAGGTGTCTAATGTCTCATGGGTAAAATTGTTTGTTAACTGATTTTATTATCACTACAAAAACGGAATTAGTACATAGCTATTCCATTATGCAACAGTTCCTGTACATTAATTGAAAATCCTTGATGTTAAGTTAATTACTCCATATGATTAAATGCGCATAAATGGTATTTAAACAAAAAAATCACATTAGCTTCAGCGCTAATAAGAGTAATAAGTACCATCCAGCGACGACGTTTACTGGTTCGATGATAATCGAATTATTGTGGTTGGAAAATTTTATAACGATTTTATTTTTCAAGTTTTTAACAATCAGTGGCGTGGCCGACTATTTATTTGATTAAAAATTACTAAAATAGGAAAGTATAAGTTATAGGGTTCGCCGAAGTAAAACGTTATATTGATTTTACAAAATACAAAGCATTGAAACTTATGAACAAACAGTTTTCACGATTCCTTATTTACTTGGCGCTTTACAGCTCGTAGAAAATGCAGGTTTCCTTTTTACTTCTGCGTGTCTTTTGTCGTATGTCAGGTAGTCGCCGAAACTATAGCAACTAACATTAATTTAGAGACTGCAAGACTTATAGATCGATTCTGTAACTTGTTATGTTAATAACATTCTGCTATCACTATGTAAACACAGCTAACATTATGTTGTTGCTATGTAATAACATATTTAACATAAATTGCAATTCGTTAAGCTTGTTTCTGTTATGTTAATAACATTATGTTATTAAAATACTCTGTAAAATAACAGAGACATTTGAGTCAATGTTATTAACATAATACGCTTATTTTAACGTTTATTAATTAATAATATCGCAAATTTGACTGCGGTGGCAAAAGAAGTTAAAATGGCAGAAGTGGATGATTTTCTACCCGTCTTCGGTTATTTATTATTAGAAGACGAAATTCAACGATAAGTCTTTCATATCATAGTATTACTAAAAATATAACAATGCATGTATTATAGGAACAGGATGAGAATGCGGCGGAGGGAACTTCGCGACAATCAAAAACCCTTTGAAAGTTTAACAGAGACGGAATTTAGAAAGTCCTTTCGTTTCAGCAAAAATCTGACCCGTTTCTTACTGCAGAGGTTGCAACCTCATTTGGGAAATCTACGTGCCAATGGTATTCCTGGATACTTAAAAATTTTAGCCACATTGAACTTCTTAGACCATGGCTCATACCAACACTGCTTAGGAAAGGAATGTCTTCTTCTACTGCCATGAGTCAGCCATCGGTTAGCAGGACCATGGTAGAAGGAGACATGGTATAGGCATACGCATCTGGTGTGACGTCAACTGGGGTGAAATTAGCGCGAAATTTAAAATACAATTCGCCATCCGACAACTAATTGACGTATTGGACAGAGCAATGACAACTCAAGCTGAAATTCCCTAGACTTCCCTAGCGAAGCTCACAAGAGTCACAAGGTCGTTGATGCCACCTAACGTCACAAATGGATGCGCAGACCATTTTTAAATTGGTACATCGGATGCCTATACCATGTCTCCTTCTACCATGAGCAGGACCATGACTCAAATTTGTCGCCTAATTAGTGAAATTTTAATGCCTCTCTTTTACGAAAAAACAAATTTTCGTGATGTAATTATTTGTTTGACAGTGACAGATGATGAAAATGGTATCATTACTTCGAAAAATAACATTTTCGGACAAATGACACATCTGTTATTTAAATACTAACATAACGGTTTAGAGAATACGACATTTCTTGTTTTATGTTAACGTCGTGATAACATAGCAATTTTAATAACAGAAATTTAAAATAACATAATGTTAACTGATTGTTACAGAATCGACCTATTAACTAAGATTTTTTATTCATCCTGTCCCGAAATTTGGTGACGTCATCTTAAAAATCATTACATAATTCAAAAGAAAAATTCCCGTCACGACAAAATTTCTTACAATAAAACTATGAGTATCGAATCAGTACACAATGAATTGAAAATATTTTTTTTTAACTTTTTAAATGACTGCACATTGTGAGAAACTTTAAACGAGGAGTGAGAAATTGAGAAATTTCCATTCGTGTGAAATGTGCCAATTACTCGGTCTGTAATATGTTGTTACAGATTTTTTATTCTTATGTAACTAATATTAATTAATATCCTCTCGTGTGACGAAAGGTGCTTATCACTATTTATTTCTTTCCAGAAGTTGGTGAAATTGTGCACGAAGATTCTCCTGAATTGGAAGAAGATATGCATATGGTTGATCAAGTACTGGGGCTAAATGAATCTGATGCTTTAGAACAAGTATTAGAAACGCAAGCGTCTCATTTATTAGAAGAAACTGATATCAGTACGGTACTTAGTACGATACAAGTGGACGAATTTAGTGACTTCTTTACAGGTATGTAGTATTTCTAAGTAGAAACATTGCTTTAAAACAGGTTTTTTTTTTAATTTCAACACATAAAATCCAGTTTTTTTTTTTGTAACAAAGTATGTCTGCAGTTACATGTACAGCATCCATCATCAGACTTTTAATCAAACGTAATCCAAAAATAAAAACCTGTTTTAGAACAATAAACTAATTGATTTTATAAACGAGCTAAAAAATTCAAACAAGGTTTAGAAACAATGACGTTTAAATGACCCAGAAAAATTCAAAACTCGTGCCAGAATATGCCATATAGCAAATAAGCCATAACAATTTAGCTCCAAAATAATAAATATACATATATATATTTACCAATGCCATTATATTATTTATTACATAATTCCGTTAGTGTATAACACATATAACGATACAATTATAATAATAGTTATTTATCAAGGCATAGAAGTTACTCTTTTTTTTTATATCGAATATGAAGTGTATTAGCCGAGGCTAATAATAATAATCATATGAGGTATAAAAAAGAACTTTATGCCGCAATAAATATTAATTTTTTTCCGAAATCGCAATATCTACTTTGCAACTGTTGCAGATTTTTCTGCAAGCAAAAATAATTAAGGGTGCAAAAAAAGGTATATTTTATACTTACGTTTAAAACGGCCAATTAAATGAGTAACTTATTGGAGGTTATGTGGGTACGCATTGGCATTGGTTGGGATGCGACGTTGCAAGATCACGCGCAAATTAAATTAACAAATTATATTTATAAAAATAATAAATCGGATGTATTTCTAATAACTGAGAAAAAGGGTTAATAAAGCGTATACAGTTATTGCTAAAACGAAAAATTTACTGCCTTATAAAATGCATTGATTAAATACATATAGATAGACCCATGCTATTGTTTGGAGCGAACAGGCCAACGGCCGGCGAACAAGAGATGGCGCACCAACAGTCGGCCGTCAAACGCCGGCGAAAAGCTTGGACACCAATCGCGCGCGTAGATAACCCAAATCACAGCAACAATACATTTAATAAAGCTACCACTCGACAGGGGGCGACGAAAACAATGTGTAAAAATCTCTTAGTAACCATTTATATAATTTGCAACGTTGCCAGATGAGCCTAGCACAACTTTGCCGTTATTTCTAGTCGATTAGATTTTATTTCGTTTAAAAGTTTCTGGTGAATAAATGGAATTATTATAATGAATAAACAATACAAACAAATTATTACTTGTTATTTTAAATACTTGTTAGTGTTGATGAAAACATAAATGGTAATTAAAGTTATTCTAAATACGGTCCGGTCCGGTAGCTCAAATTTTACAGTACGAGTGATATGTTTCAGGACGAGTAGGTAGCCGAGTCTTTAATTTCGAAACGAGTACTGCGAAAAGAGTTACCGGACGTATGTTGTTATGTATTTTATTTCATACTGTCAACATACTTTTTTATTCGATAAAATTATTATTATTTTGAGAAAAAATCCAAATCGAGTCACTTTTTCTGACATCGTTAGCAACCGCTCTTTGGTAAATGCGTCGTCTTCGTTGATTCACTATTAAAGTCTCTCCAATTGGTTACAATCGTCCGACTTGTCAAAAGGGAAAATATCAAAAGATGTCACCCCCTTCGGGAGTTACAGGAACCTGTAATTAGTCCGTTTTGCCACGCGCCAAAACAGTTTGTGCTTGAATTGATATTATCAAAATGTCCAAAAAATATTGCTCTGTGCCTGCTTGTGGGGTAATCAAGGATCCTAGAGATCACAAAATAATGTACAGATTCCCTTCAAACACTGTGAACAAATGGTTGTGGTGTAAAAAGGTTTTTAATGCTACAAGTAGGTACCCCAACATGAATCTTTTACCTAAGGGAATATATAGTCATTAAAACCATTTCAGGTGATAATATTGCCAATAATTTATACACTTGTGGTAAACACTTTTGAGAGAAGTTGTTATTATTCAAATAAAAGACTAATAAACTCGGCTCTGTTCCTACTTTGTTCCTCCATGGTTCCAAGTCACCGCTACCTGTTCCTACTTCTTCAAGCTACCCAGCAAGCACTAAACGTGATCCAGAATGCAGCTTCATAATTCCTGAGACACATTCCGGTAACAATGTAAACACCTCAAAGAAAAATTTTCCTACTGCATATCCCTTTGAAGACCATCCACGCACATGGCGTTGTGACTTTGGCACCGGTACCGAAATTTTGCCTCTTTTTCAAGTAAAAACCGAAATACATGATGTCAAATTGTGTCAAAAAGTCAGACCATGACAGACATTTAGCTGACATTACAGATTCCTTTCCCTCCCGACGTATGCGCCCTCACATGTCACATTTAAGGGATTGGAGAGACTTTAATAGTGAATCAACGAAGACGACGGGTAAATGTTTTAATTTGTTTATTCGTGCAAATCAGCATCATATGTTTAAACACATAGTACTTATAACACTTTACAGGACTTATTGTTTTGTATAATCCGACTCGATGGACGAATGTTTTGTGCAATCCGTCTCGAAGGACCAATGTTTGTGCAACTCGGCTCGTCCTACCAGTATTTTTTGTAATCTGGTTGATACGACAAAGTGATACCGAATTGTACTTTGATATTGCTCCAATGACTTTTGTTTTATTGCGTGCGAGATAATAGACAGCGTTCGGTTTCGATGTTTAATACAGGAGGTTACAAAAATACTAAATTTACATTTGTATTTACAATAACAGGTAAAGCAAAAGAGACCCAAAAGGGTCAGTGGCCGCTTCCGGAAATGGAACACTTGTCCTTTTTGGCTCAATTTTATCGGACTTGTCCGTTTTTTTGATTTTACCGGAATCGTTCGATCCAGTAAAACGTCAAACTTGACATAGTATAAAGTAAAATAAATAAATTTTATTCAATTTTGACATGTAAACAAACGTTTATTTTGCCGTCAGTAGGCCACTAAAGCTTTGGTTTATCCGGTAGCACCATAAAATTTTTAAACCGCTAGCGAAATAAAATTTTTATTTTGCTGTTTTAAAACCATGGTTACCATTTCTGTAATTTCTCCAATGTCTTGCTGCTCTTTCCATCTAAGGAACTTTTGATACACTTTCTGATTTGCTCTTTTTTGGGAGCAAGTTTTGCCGTTGGAATCTTGCATGATTTTGCAATTTTTCGATAATTTTAGTTTGTTTAAAATAAACAAACACCGTCGCCAGAGTCACATACTACACACACACACCTGATATTGTAACCTAAATTCTACGCATATAAAACTTTTATTTGGTCGCTGTCAATTCTGACGTTTCTCGAATGTGAACTTTGAATCACCAATTTTTTCACAATTTGGGACTTGGGGTTGTCAAAATTGAATAAAAGTTTGTATTACACTCGCGGTTAAAATGAATGTGTAACTCGTGGTCTTAAGGCGCTCGCGGCATACGCCGCTCTCGCCTTAAACTGGCCGCTCATTAAACATTCACTTTAACCGCTTATATAATAAATAACTATTATGATGTAAATACAATTAAGTATATCGATAATTCACTACTGAAAATTTATTGAAATATAATTTGTGTTAAAAAAAGATTTTTGTGGTTCTATGGTTTATTAACATAATTTACTTATTTGAAATTAAATATTTTTAATACATAGCACAAGTTCTTGATATTCTTTATTTTTATTCCAAGTAATAATTGTGTTTCCTTTAGTTTTAATCAAGAAAATTTTTCGGTTATTATCTAACATACTTTTGTACATTAAGAAACTCCATTCCACGTCACAGGACGTTACAGGACAATATTTAAATAAATAAAGAAGTCGTTTTATGTGTTTTAAAATTCACTCTGATTTCCGGACTTTACACTTTTTGGTGTTTCACTTCGGCACAAGAACTAGTCGTATCTCAAAGAAAACAAACAGTGGAATATAGCGTATTGTACCAATATTTCATAGTAAAAATGTCTAAATTTTTTTATGAAGAGACAGACTGTTCTAGGAAACTTTACTAAATCTTTTCATTTACGAGCTTTTGAAAGACCGCCGGTCTCACTGATACTTCTTACTTGGCTCCTACGAATGAAGCGAAAAATGCACAGATTGAAAATATAGTAAATGGGGTAGTATGTATGCGTGATATGTCGTTAGACATTAAGTATTTTGCAAATAAAATTTATTTCATTGAAAACAGAAACAATAAAAAACATATCTGTACAAGTTTGGAATCGATATGGCCAGTTGTTTAGAATATGCAAATATGCTTTTGTTCGTATTTACAATTATTACGAAACAGGTTATCAAATAATCTATTTTCACATGGCGAGACTTTCAAGCGGCCGAAGAATTAAAAACCATAAATTTTCATTGAAGAAACAAACTCTTCCAAGAAAATTACCAAATCTTTTAGTTCCATTGATACCTACCTACCGAAAACGTTGCCAGACGAGCCTAACACAAATTTGCGGATATTTCTCGTCAACCAGATATTATTTCATTTAGAAGTTTCTGGTAAATAAATGGGATTATTGTAATGAACACATAAAACAAATAAATTGTGATTATTATTTGTTGTTTTAATCCATTAGACGCTTATAGGCTTATAAGTATACTTTTCTTGAAAAATCGGTATTAAATTCAGTGAAACATCTTTGTGCCTTAATTCCTATTGGTAAACTGGGATTTTGAATAGAGGTCGCAGGAAAATTTTGTATGGTTTTATGGTTTATTTACATAATTTTCTTATTTACAATGAATGTTTTTGATATATAATACAAGTTCTTGATATTATTTATTTTAATTACATTTAATAAACCATAAAACCACAAAAATCTTTTTTTAACACAAATTATATTTCAATAAATTTTCAGTAGCGAATTATCGATACACTTAATTGTATTTACATCATAAAATTTATTTATTTTACTTCATACTATGTCAAGTTTGACGTTTTACTGGATCGAACTATTCCGGTAAAATCAAAAAAACGGACAAGTCCGATAAAATTGAGCCAAAAACACGGAGGTAGAAGAGACACTCTTCTACCTCCGTGACCAAAAAGGACAAGTTTTCCATTTCCGGAAGCGGCCACTGACCCTTTTGGGTCTCTTTTGCTTTACCTGTTATTGTAAATACAAATGTAAATTTAGTACTTCTGTAACCGTCCTGTATTAAACATCGAAACCGAACGCTGTCTATTATCTCGCACGCAAGAAAACAAAGGTCCTTGGAGCAATATCAAAGTGCAATTCGGTATCACATTGTCGTATCAACCAGATTACAAAAAATACTGGTAGGACGAGCCGAGTTGCACAAACATTGGTCCTTCGAGACGGATTGCACAAAACATTCGTCCATCGAGTCGGATTATACAAAACAATAAGTCCTGTAAAGTGTTATAAGTACTATGTGTTTAAACATATGATGCTGATTTGCACGAATAAACAAATTAAAACATTTACCAAAGAGCGGTTGCTAACGATGTCAGAAAAAGTGACTCGATTTGGATTTTTTCTCAAAATAATAATAATTTTATCGAATAAAAAAGTATGTTGACAGTATGAAATAAAATACATAACAACATACGTCCGGTAACTCTTTTCGCAGTACTCGTTTCGAAATTAAAGACTCGGCTACCTACTCGTCCTGAAACATATCACTCGTACTGTAAAATTTGAGCTACCGGACCGGACCGTATTTAGAATAACTTTAATTACCATTTATGTTTTCATCAACACTAACAAGTATTTAAAATAACAAGTAATAATTTGTTTGTATTGTTTATTCATTATAATAATTCCATTTATTCACCAGAAACTTTTAAACGAAATAAAATCTAATCGACTAGAAATAACGGCAAAGTTGTGCTAGGCTCATCTGGCAACGTTGCAAATTGTATAAATGGTTACTAAGAGATTTTTACACATTGTTTTCGTCGCCCTCTGTCGAGTGGTAGCTTTATTAAATGTATTGTTGCTGTGATTTGGGTTATCTACGCGCGCGATTGGTGTCCAAGCTTTTCGCCGGCGTTTGACGGCCGACTGTTGGTGCGCCATCTCTTGTTCGCCGGCCGTTGGCCTGTTCGCTCTAAACAATAGCATGGGTCTATCTATATGTATTTAATCAATGTAAAATGTAATCATGGAGGTAGATGTAACTAATATGACAACACTGCATTTACTTCTATGTCTAGGCATAGAAACGAATTTCTGTGCCGACTTTTGAGCATAGAAAGGGCACATTATTGTGCGATTTCGGAAAAAATAATATTGTTTTCAGATTTCCCGAATTTTAGGTTCTTTTTTGTCCAAAGTTTTAATGTGACTTATTTGAACTGAGTAAAGCTGTTAATGAAAACAGTTCGTGAATGTCGTTCAATGTTTTATATACTGGGATACGTCCATGTTTTAACTACGTCCTGTTTGACCGGAAATTTTGAAATAGGCCGTTGTATCCTAAATTGACGAGGAGAATATGTTCGTGTAAACCGTTTGTTTCTGCTTCTAGAGATAAACCAAATTCAGAGCAGCTTCCATTGTCAAGGACCGCTGAAAATCGTTTTATAACATCTCTATTTGTAAGCAATTTTTATCTGATAAATAATCTGTTCCAGTTAACCGAAACGGCGAATACGAACCGTCAAGGGAGGAAGCTGAGGAATTAGAAAAAGCGTTAGCTGCGGTCGATAACGACGTGAAATCTCTAGAAAAATTAAGCCAGTCCCAGGGTTTACTAGACTCTTTATTAGACGAACATACATTGGCGGAATCGTTAGTTCAGATTCCGGATGTGTTTCACAATGGTTATACTCCATGTGGTGATAGTATGGTAGCACAAACGTCGTCCTTTCTCTTGCCTGTTGAACCACAATCTCATTCTTAATAGATAATTTGAGTATGAAGAATTTTCACCTTGACAGTACAATCTACAGTAATATAATTAAGTATAATAACTGGTATAAGTCCGTATTTTGTACATAGTAGCTCGTAGGAACGCTCATGGCAGAAAATGACCAGTGATTCCCCACATTTCGATATCGTTATCATTCTCGCTTTTTTGTTTGATTGGAAATGAAACGCTTAATATGTACCTTACGACCCTATTGATTCTACCAAAACTGTAAAGAAGTGTGAACAATCAAATTTATTTATATTAACCATTGATTTTGATCTATAGTTGAAGACTGAATAGTATTTTTAGCTCGTTAGTTTAACAAACGCAAACATTCTAAATTGTTCATGAAAACAACTGTTTGTAAAACATCACTTATAATTAATTAAGCTTCGTTTCTAGTTTATCGCATTGTTGATATTGTGAATATACCAGTTATTACTTGTGCAATTACAGGCTCTTTTTTAATAATACACACGATCGAAAATATCTAGGAGTGATGTACGTTTAAATTGGATTTTTCCTAATAATAATTGTATAGTAGTGTATGTAATTCCATTATTTTCAATGGTACACATATACTGATTTGTTTATATTCAGTTAAACCGTTATTTATTTTTTATTTATTTCCAAACAGTCCTTCATTCTACATTTGGTACTATTTATATTATTTTTATACATTATTTGTATTTTTGTTAACGTTAACGTTAACTAGAAAGTGCGATGTAGTCATTCTCGATAGGTTTGATTTTTATTTGAAAAATTCCTGTATTAGTTTTAATTCTATTGTGATTGGAAGAAAATGTAAAATAGTATTTTGTGAAACTTAAAAACGTGTTGCTCTATCATTTACTTCAATGTTTTCATTGGAACTGTAATTATGGATTTTGTACAATAATTTTAGATAGTATTTTGTAGACAATGTTGTGAATAAAAATTGATCTTGTAAAAAGTGAATTTGGAATTATATTTTATATCGCAAATCTTCCACGTCAGACACACCGCAATAAAATAAATTTAAATGAACAAAATGCTTTAAGAAGTTTGTATTGTGAAAATGGCCTTTTGTAATGATCATATTGACTTCATGATATCAACAAAGAGTTTGTAACTTCATTGTTAAACATTTACTAAGTGTACGTGTAACTGAAGATTAGATAGTTTCTTAAGTTGTTTACATGTAACATTTCAGCTGTACATATTCTTAGGATAAACATGTTAATAAAAAAAATACAACAATTTACAAAGTGATGTTTAATGTAGTTTAAAATCACACGAAACAATATAGTACAGTGCAAAAAGATTTATTACCTTTATTTTACACAATTATCAATTATCACATAGTGAAAAGATAACCTCTCAATTTACAGCAGAAGAACTTCCTGAACGTCAACTAAAATATTTCATACACAGTAACAAAAATGTATGTTCAACCAAACGTGATATTAAACAATAACTAACAACAATTAAACTGATTCGTTAATCTTCTGCACACTATTTTACACCTGCTTTGTAGACAGTCTCTTACCTTTTACGATTACAGGTTTATTTTTTATCGTACCCTTTTTACGTTTGGAGCTCTGAAAAACAAATCGGTAACTCGGGAACTTCGAGACCTCAACTTACCTTCTTCGAGACGAAATTCTGAGACTTGACCACCCTGTTTGCTACCGGGATTCGAGGTCGATTAAATTCATCAGGCTTTTTCACCCTTTAGATTCACACAATTTTTAAAAAGTTTGGCTTTTTTTTGAAATGTTTACGTACCTGTATATCCGCACCAGCCAATGCTCAGTCGTATATGCTTCTTCCAGGTAAGTGAGTTGGAAGTCTTTATTGCCGATAACAGCATTGCGTGTTCGATCAAACCCAGCCGGTGTACGGTAATCCAGTTTCAATTCTCCGAAACGATAGTAACTCAATTTGTACATTAATGAGTTTAGAAGGGTAGGAGCGCCCTCTGCATCTACTCGAAATTCGCCATGTTCGGTGAAATAGTCACTTTCCTGTAAAAACAAAACCTCATCAGGTACTCAAACAACTGTCTTAAATTATTGTAATCGAAATTGTACATTTATTGAAATTTGTATTAGTTAAGATATCACCACCACATGTACGAATCTAAGGCAACACTATAATTCAAAAGGCTAATTCAAATTTAATTCTGCTATTGCCAAAACAAATTAATTATTTTGAACATTACCCAGAATTCAAGTTATACCTCAACTGTACAATACTGCCCAATTTTTTCTTTTTTTTTTTTAAGAATAAACGAAACAAAATCCACACACATCTTTGATAAGGTTATCCTACTAAATTTGTATATCACTAGGGCGTAACACCAAAGAATGTTGCAGAATTCTTTTAAAAATATGAATAGAAGCCTAAACCCTGTCTGTAATGGACATTTTGGGATTTTTCTGAAACTGGTTGAATTTAATTTTGTATTGGTTGCAATCTTTTTTAATAAAATTTGTTATATGACATAGCATTCTTTCATTAAATTGTTGGTTCTTTATTATTACCGTAGAGTTTGGTGACTGCGACGAAATACCCAACTTCACAGAGGTGCATTAACAAAACAGTGCTGTGTGTAATATGTTTTCAATTGTTATTTAAAGATATTTTATTTGTATGCAATCAGTAAACAACAATTAATTCCCAAATAACATACTCAAATGTAGACAGCAAATTTCTAGAAATAAAAAATTCCTTCTTAGCGACTTTATACTTGAAAGTCTTTTTTCTCGTCATTATGTAGACGAATTCTTAGTATTTTACAAACAACTTGCAAAATATACACATTTTAGTTCTAGAATGAATGCTGTTGTTGCTTTTGATCCGTTCAATGATTATTTGTGCCATCTTAGCATCAGATCTGTAATATCCTTTTCACAGAAAACCTGGGAGCCTAATATTGACTTACTTTCTAAAAAACTATAACAGCTAAAATCATCAAGTTTTGAAAAAATTTCTAACAGACCTGCAATATACTCACTCTAATATACGAAATTATGCCTTACAACCTTCGTTATTTTTACGTGAAACTTAAAAAAATGTTTCATACATTTTCAGATGGCTATATTAATGCAAAATTTTACTTCTTTTCTGTTTTTAAATAATTTACGGAATTCGTGAAGTTTAAAATCTGAATTTCCAAAAATTTTGTATTTTATTCATCTTCCGAGCAAAACCTTTTCACTATTTTGTACTGACATAATTTTATATTGCTGTACAGTCTTTTATTAATAAAAAATTCTTTACTAATTTTTGATAGGGCAGATTTTAGTTTTCGATTAAGTTGTGGAGCAAGGTCATTTTATAAAATAAGAACCATCAAGTGATCGAGGTTTGACCCTTGTGGTAGTCCTAGAATTTAACCAGAATTAGAATTTGGTTAACATAGGTTTTTCGGACAAATTGTACCCGTGTTCTCGATGCTTTACTGGTAAAAACAAAAAAAGAGCAATTATTTTCTAATTTAATCTATCTCGAAACCACAATAATATAATAATATAGAAAAGTCTGAAATGTTTTCATAAAATTGTTCAAGCTTAGTTAACCTCTGTAAGGCCCGGTATTTCAGTTGTTGGTTAAAGTCGTAGTTAACAAACCATTTTTTGCAATTTTTGTTGCATTTGCAGTCACCTTTGTGATGTTATGGATATGTAAAAAAGTATAGTTCAGTGCTTTATTCTATGCAGCATTTTCTTAAATAATAAAGTAGTAGTGTAAAGTGATTCAAGAAAATTGATAACAAGTGACAATTTTGAAATTTAGTTCAATTGTCGATTAATTTCTCTCGTAAAAAAACTTACCCGGATGTCTTTTGGATGCTCGCCTTCTGCGATTCTCACCATCCACAAAAACTTGTTGATGTCATCCCCCGAGTACCCAATCACACCACCGAAAATAACAAGCACATAATCAACATCCAAAGCAGTCATAATCTCGTAAGCGGCAGTTTCATTGGACGACATAGCTTTGCCTACCAGTGCTATGTGACTATTATTCCACGTATTATTGTCAACCAGTGTAGTCCGGTTAGCCATCCCAGCTATCTGATATCCATAATCCCACCTAAAACACCCCATTTAAACGACTACACTAACAAATAACACACTACATATTTCTAAAAGTGTTAGAACGTGTAGAAATAACGATCTTACCAACTCATAACCCTCGCGTCATCTGCGGTATTCTGCGACAACCAAAAGTACGCCTCCCTGAAGTCGTCCAAGATCTGCCTGGATCCGTCGCTACTATAAGAAGCCAGAACAATGCTAGGGCTTGAGTACGCGTTGCTTGTAACCCATGTACAATGTACTGCGAACAACATCAGTAACAACATAATTACTACAGTAACAATGCTACGTATATTAGGACCGATTCCATCAGATTCCTTGTTTTGTTCATGTTTCATTTTTGGCACACGTCCAGCAACAGCCTACAATCAAAGTTGGTAATACTAACCGAAATACAACTTCGAGTTACCTTATCGTATAATCGTCTACTATTAGGAGGTGATTGGTCCTCGTCTTCACTATCTTCGTTTCTAGGGGTGTCGTCTTCGCGCAAAAACAGCTCAAGTAAACCGGAAAACGCGACACCACTCAGTATACATACTACAGGTGTCAAGGTTAGCATTAGTCGTACCATCACTCCGGCGAAATACACAGCACTCAAAGCATACAGAATCACTGAAATTGCGAAAATGAGGGTTAGTTTTTTCCGTTTTCATAAAAACATACCAAAAACTCTCTCGTCATTTACGTTCTTGATGCAGTACCACAAACCGGCGGGGAAAGTCGCCACTAGGATGTGTAAATCGAAGAAAAACGAAAACCATGTGGTGGGTTGATGCTCAGACACGGATGCTATGATGGGTATGTGAATTTTAGCATACCCAGTGTCCCACAGAGAGTAAAATCTGGAAATTAATAGCATTATAAAAGAGAGAAAAACTAAATAAATAAACAAAGGTGGATACCTTCCACTCCATGGTGCGACGTATCCAGCGTACGTCAACCCAACAACCGTCAGGAAAACTATACCAGCAGAGACTAAGCCTCCGAATATAACTAAAGATTTAAATTCTGATTTGGACAGAATCGATTGCAGGTACTTGAGGGTTGCTACGGCAAATAATAGAGCGAAAACGCCTGCGAAATTTTTTTATTAGTTTTGTATATATATTTCAAAACGTGAAAAATAGTACCAGATGCAGCCATGTGTTCACTGGTACGGATGGGTTGAAAACCAACGAACGGAATTTGCATCGAGCAAATTAATCCAAGAATATAGAAAGTCGTATAACTAGTGAAAAGTCTGTTTGAAAAGCGTCCCATCAATAGTAATACAAACACGTGAAGGGGGATCAAGTTGATTATGAATACGTAACCTCCCCAAGCGGACACCTGAATTAAAAACACAAATATTTTAATTGTTTACGACGTATTTTGACGACACTAAAATTAAAATTCTTGATAATTTTATTTGATTATTGTCTGAATTCACAAAACGAGTTACATTCAAATTTTACCTAATTCAAAAAACAGATGCCATTTCAAAAGTGGTGGTTTAATCTATCGACACTTTTGAACTTGCATAGGGGTTATTCTAAGAATGTACAACACAATTTGACAATATGTCTTACAATTTACATTACGAACTTCTTCATTTTCGTACAACATTAACGTTAATTTAACAATTATAAAATATTTATTTATTTATTCATTGTCTCCAGAAATCTGAAGACGCCATTTCGTAAAAAAATTAGGACAGCAACGACGTTTACAATATTTCCATTAATATAGAATACCTAAATATGTACAATACAAAGAAAACTTAAATATCCATGTGATTTTATTTCCTAACAATAGATTTCGCCACCGCAAAAAATAAAAATTAATTACTTGTTTATTGTTAATTATCTGCCACTGACGACCAATAATGGGAGTGGAAAAACCTACTTATTAACGATAACATTTTTAATTATCTGAGTCCTATACAGTACATTTGTTTTCGTCTAGTCTTAATGCCGTCATTATCGAACTTTAAAAACTCACAAAAATTGGTTGAAAGTTGTTTCGACAGAACTTCCCTCGCTCCTGAAGTACAATGAAACATATTCAGCATTTTCAAATGACTCAGAAACGTCCGTCATCGTTTGTCTGTCAGCGATGGGTACCTATGCCTGTTTAGATTAATGCCTAATAGATTCATTCGCATTCCTGCTAGCGTGTTGACGAGTTCACTTAAGTTTATGTTTCCGTGTGTTATTGTTTGCGATTTAAAAAAATACATTTAAAAACCATCCCCTTCTGAAGTGTGCATGTTACGTTATTGACTGGCAGTCCGTTGTCAGATTCTGATGACTCACCATGTTGAACTTAAAAATAATCCATCTCTAACAATCCTTGTCCTTCAACACTAGGTAATAGCAATCTGACGTTCAAGTGTTTATTTATGTTTATAAATCGAAAGAATGTCATGTAGAAACTAGTTTGATTTGAATGAGTTTGTCTTCTCAAAAGACAGGACTAAAATTATTAATTAAGCCACAATCGAACAGTTCTGAATATTATAATTCTTATTTTATCATTATTACATAAAGACGTGCGTATTCTTCACATTTTTGAGAAACTGGGTGACTCGTTCTTAATTTGACCAATAAAAAATTTGTGACGACGTCATCAACATGGATAATGTTAGTCACAGCACAAAAGAAAAGTAGCCACAGCGTATTACCAGTGCAAGAACAAACAAGGACACTTATATCAACTTGGGTTGGTGCAGTGTAATACTAAAAATAACATTATTGTATTCCCAAAATTTTCTGAGAAAATGGAGTGAGCCGTTCTTGATTTAATCAATAAAATAAATTGACTCATTCATTAATTTTTTTGAGCCACTTGTTAAACCAAATCTAAAAAATCTGAATACAATGATAAATCACGAGTAAAAAAACTCATCATATTTTGCACATTTTGAGTAGAATAAATAGATATACTTTTATTAACAATTTATTATGCTCACAATAACTTTAAAACGTCTGCAAGATTCCAAAGTATACAGTTTTGCAGTTCTTGATTTAATCAAGAAAATAAATTAACTAAGTCATTAATTATCTTGAAGCACCCTGTATAAGCAAATCTAAAAAATATTAATGCAGTGATAAATCACTAGTATAGACTCATCATATTTTGCACATTTAAGATAAGATTTACTCAGCAATATTTTGAGGGACGTCATCAGTTTTTTAGGGGGGGAGGGATGAGCAAATACATTTTTGTAAAAAATTTACCATGCTTATGATAACTTTAAACTATCTCCAAGCGTTCGGTTTTGCAGTTCTTGTAAATCGATAAATAAATTCACGCATTGATTAATTTTTTTAAGTCACCCTGTATAAGCAAACCCAAAAAATGTGAATGAATGATAAATCACTAGTATGAACTCACCATATTTTGGACATTTTAGATAGGGCTTATTCGGCAAAATTTTGAGTTGACGTCATCAATTTTTGGAGGAAATAAGCAAATATATTTTGATTAAAAATTTATCATGCTTATCACAACTTGCAAAATGTTTTATAATTCTGGTTGCTTTTTTCAAAAATCTGGACGTTTCCGGTAAAAATTCAACACAGAATCATAAACTACATGTGTAGGACTATGTTATTTTATACAATTTAAAACCCATTTACTATGCGCAATTCTGAGGTGACGTCATCACATTATTGGTGGGGATGATTAAACAAATTTTGTTTAGCGTTTTACTATCTACATGATATTCCTAATATAAATACAAAATTTGACATTAACTGGCCTAGTACTTTCGGAGATTATCTGTCTAATAAAAATCCGGGACGGCAGACGGACGGACATAGACAAACGGAAACGGGGGACCTATTTCTTCGTACTGTAGGTGTCATTCATGAAAGGTTGCGAAAACGGAAAAGTAAAGAGTCGGTCGACAGACTCGATTACAACACTTCCTTTGCTTCCACTCAGGAAGTAAAAAATAACAAAAATATATAATTAATTAATCTAAAAAGTATAAGTTATTGGAATGGCACTGTGAATGTTAAATGTTATCTGTGTCACATCTGGCACAACAAAACTTGACTTTCCCACACTTTAAATTTGGTGCCACGAAACCCACCAATTGAACGTCGTGTTTCATTTAAAAGATTCACTGTTGCCAGCTTAAATTTGATTGAGGGCAAATATTAGTTTTTTCATTTGATTGATACCACTGCATCGGCGGCCACCTTGATCATGCAAAAGGTGTATTGTTTAAAATATTCAATTCCAGAAATAATTTACTAATCTTTACTAGAACAAATTCTAGTTTTTGATAAAGTGTTATTTATTCTGAAACATCGTTGCATGCTCAAAAATGTCGGTCTAAAATGTGTAAAATCTAAATAATGTTTAAAACGTTACTAAATCACGAAATTTAAGTTTGCGCCTTGTGGCACTGAAATTTAATTGTAATCAAAACCTGGTTGAGGTCAGTTTTTCGCTTATAGTTACTATAAAACCCTTTATACCAAAACGTGCAAATCGCATGTTTTCTTGAAGCTTTTGTAGTAAAAAAAAGAACTTTATTTTTACTTCCTGAGTGTAAGCGAAAGAAATATTGTAATCGAGTCCGTTGAAAATGCTGGATATGTTTCATTGTATTTCAGGAGCGAGGGAAGTTCTGTCGAAACAACTTTCGACCAATTTTTGCTATTGAAATTATATGCATTAAATCAATTCAAACACTTTTATATATGAAGGTAAATTTTCTGATGTAAATCTTACTTAAAGTTACGTTTCTTTAGGTAACCTTGAGTAGCGTGCAAAATTCCATAAATTCATTGAAGTAATTATGATTTGTCTCGCCTCTGTCACTTATTATAACTGTTAGATGAACCAAATGCTTTTGGAATTTCATTCAGAGGATTTAAGCACAAATATCTTACGACTGTTGGAACTATAATTTCCTCATTTGCTTTTCTTGATTGTATTATTTTGGTTTTATTTTATCGCTACTGGCATACTATGAAATTTTGGTATATATATCACGTTTTTTTTTTCTAACAATTTTTTAATAACAGAAACAAAAATTAATCTCCATTAAACCCTTCCTTGATTTTTTTTTTTAATAGATAAAGTTTATAACCTGACTATTACTGAGGATTCTACATTTTCTGATGCATTCTCTGCAAGACTAGAAGCATAAACGATAAACAACGCCTTTCTGCGCATATTTTTTAAATATTATTTTTCAAACGACGTGATCAACCTTCTGGAGGCGATCAATAAGTCAAATTTAGTTAACGTTTATTATTATGTTAGGTAGTTTGTTCGATAAATTATAAAAATTTGACTACACAAACGTTTGTTTATGATAAGCAACTTATGTTAAGTTAAAAATAAGGTTGCATTATTAGACCATAGGTAAAGGGGAAATCATGTCGCGCTTGAAAAATGTGCTTAAAAATTTCTTAAAGTACATATTTCTAAATTTCAAAGCAATCAGTTTCCTCGTTACAGTGACTATTTAACAAAACTGCCGATAGACGGGAAACTGACGGAAAGTAACGGGAAACACCTGCAAGTTATAAAACGTCAAAAAATTAAACATTCGTCAAAATAACTGTTGACCTTCAAGTATTGTTCAGAAAACAAAAACACTGGAAAGTATGTAGGTACTTGAAAAATTTTTTGAAGCCAATGTATGAAGTGTTGTCTCAACCAGTAAATGAGAAAAAGTAATTATTGTTTGGCCACGGTTAGGAGTGTGCGTATTAACGACATCGCCATGAATTTTATTATCAGTTATAATATAACAAGTGATATGATTATTATCGATGATATTTCGAGTGAAACCGAGCTGCAGATTCAACGAGTGCGAAGCACCAGTAGAATGTGCTGCTTCGGTTTCACGAGCCATATCTTCGATTATTAATCATATCACGACTTATATTCTACATGAGAATATAATGAATGAATACATTTTTTGATCACAGAATTGATTTCGTCGTTTTGAGCTTGCCCCCAACGTTGGCAAGCCATAATAGACAAACAAATTTATAAAATTCTAAAATTTGTCAAATATGACAGTTTTTAAATTTAGGTAGCAACATACCACAATAAGGTAATAATTATCGCTGTGATAATGAATGAATTCTATTCGAAGAAATGAGGCCATGTGATACATGAATTATATTCTCAGTTATAATATAACAAGTGACATGATTATTATCGATAATATTTCGAGTGAAACCGAGCTGTAGATTCAACGAGTGCGAGGCACCAGTAGAATGTGCTGCTTCGGTTTCACGAGCCATATCTTCGATTATTAATCATATCACGAATTATATTCAATATGAGAATATAATCAATGAACACATTTTTTGATAATAGAATTGATTTCGTCGTTTTGAGCTTGCCCCCAACGTTGGCAAGCCACAATAGACAAAAAATTGATGAAATTCTAAAATTCGTCAAATTTGACAGTTTTTAAATTTAGATAGCAACAGACCACAATAAGGTAATAAAATTATATTATCAATAGTAATACCATGAGTAGGATGAATATTTGTGATAATTCAGACGATTTATCAGCTAAACGAATTTCCTGAGCGCAACACAAAATGAGTTTGCTAATAAAGTCTGAGTTATAAAAATATTCATCCTACGAATTGTATTTTGCAAGACTATTCCATGCAGCTACTACTAAAGCACAATAATTATAAACAATTTTCTTCTGTAGTTTTAATTCACTTTCTACGAAAGAATTGTTGGCAAATGGACCCATTTTTTAATAATGTCAAAAAATTAATTTGTTTAGATGATCGTAACTATGGTTTGCTAGGTTGAAAACACCGTTTTTTGACCCAATGGGGATGCCGAGCTACTGTGGCTTGCCGCGAAAAGCCCACGCTACATACCAATCAGATTGGTTCTTAACCGATATGCATGGAATAGTCGCTGTGATAGCCATGTAACTAAGGGCATGAATAAATTCTATTGGAAGAAATGGGGTCATGTGATTCATGACTTATATTCTCTCGTTAATATTACATCATTTAACAGCGTAAAAAATAACAGGCGTGAATTAAAATAATTTATATTATGTTGCGCCTAAATATTCTCGAACTCCATTAGTGGTTTCCGTTTACAATTTTTATTGCAATTACTATCGGCTCTGTTATGTCGTGATTACGCAAAAAAGTGTAATAAATTTAAACCGTTTCTTTTACACATTTTATTATTAGAAATATATCATAAAGCAGTGAAAATCATGAGATCCGCGGTAATTAATGAAAATCTAAAGAACTGTCGATATATCGTATATTGTACAGATTAACGATTGTTTTACCTTATCAATATTGTAATGTTATAGAAATATGCAATAAACTTTATGTTATGTAATGTTTATAAACATTTTTTGCATGAAACAAAAAACTTACAAACTGCTGAAACAATCACCAATCATTTCTTTCAACAAAATATCAATTTATTTGCATTGTTTGCTAACAAAAATCAAAATGAATAAACATAACTCCTTCGCCTATATGCTATTAATAAAGTGAGGGAATTTTTGTGGTTGTCCTCATTGCTACCTTACTAATAGGATTAGGAGTTTAATAAAATAAACACTGAAATTCACTAGAAAGAAAAATAAATATGAAGTAGTTTTATAACGTAAATACGTAACTTATTGGAATTTATCCTGTTAAATTTAGAATATGAATAATTTGAGTTAAATTAAACATACCTTGAAAAAAAAATCTAAGCTTTCTTCTCAGAAAAAATGTTCAACAATAAAATGAGCGAATCTAAAAACAACACAACTTAAAATATAAACACATTACATTTTTGCAAAAAAGTAACGCTGATATGTTATTTGATAAGCACACATACAGTGTACATTCATTATCAGTCATAGCTTCAAAAGTAGAAGGTCTAACAGTTGATTATGTAGGTGAAACTTTCTAGCAATAAATTTATCCAACACTCTAGATATTCAACATTTGTCCATAAAAATACCATTACACAGGTAGTACTATCAAGTTCTACTATATTTTTTCAAAACCACTCCACTTAACACAAACAGATAAACAAATCAATAACTTACCATGTAGAAATAAGATAACGCCGCAGCGACGGCCCAAAACACGGATCCAGTCTTAACAGACTTAATCCAAAGGAAATAAGTAAACTGTAGGGCAAAAATGGCGATTCCTTCGTTGTCATAACTTCCAGCGACAGAACGACTGATGTAACCAGGCACAATGGCAATAAAACACGCTGCAAAAAGGCCAGCACCTGCTGACCACAATTCTTTGGTCAGGAAGTAAGTCGAAATGGCCGTCAGACCGCTATAAAGCCCTGCATTACCAAAACAACGAAAGTCAAACCAAAGTCCACACAAACCTGAATATTGGTGCCAAGAACACACAAATGTCACGTATATGTACATTTATGTTCAGCAAATGCAAAACGTAGTGTATGCTTCCGGAAGTGATCATGAGGCCTGGGTACACCGTGCCTCCCACAATGCGCCCCAAAGGGTACCATGCTCGCTCATCGAACCAATTCAAAAAGTTGTAAAAACCATGTTTTACCATATAGGCGGTTGCTCTGTAGTTGAACCTGTAACGTGAACCGTAGTCGTCATTCAGAAAGTGGCAGAAATCGCGGGTTTCCTCACCATGGATCGAATTCGTGAATTATACTTTCAAATCTTATAACCGCGAACAGGCGGGATGAGAAGCCGGCTATCCATGCTAGTAACAGAACTACGAAAATGATCAGACTGTTTATTCCTGTTTTACTATTTATTCTTGTAATTTGTGACTTTTTCGAACCGGCTTGAACCATTTTTGACAACCAAAAACATGACACGCATACACACTCGCAGAGGTTACTTTGCTTTCAGACGGCCATTTCCCATTGGCTGACTTGTTGACAACTTGGCATTTGTCATTGGTAGTCGCTAGGGATTTTTAATTTGACACTAAATGCTCATTCATCATCCGTGAGCGCGCCAGTAATTTAAATTCAGTACACATGGAATGATTTATTGCAACATAAAAAACTAAACTAGGGAATTAAAATTAACTAGAGGTGGAACGTATCGGTGCTTCTTTGGTGTCGACGTCACTTGATATCTGGTTTTATTTAAGACCTCTGGCTGAGGAGCCACTTGAGTTATGACTTCCACAGGTCTTACAGATCCAAAGAAGTCTGTGATGGGGACTTCAAAGGGATTCCTTCTGAATAGATCTCTCCTGACACCGACTGTGGAGATACAAACTCTCTTCGGACACACGCTAAGCTAGAAAGGGTGATGTTACTTTTGAGATTCACTTAAATTGAAACTTACAAATTCCCCCATTGTCTTATTCGTGTGCTCGTCAATACTTTCAAGAAAATCTAGAGCGTGGTATGTGTATCGGTCGATGATGTAAACTCCAATTGCTGGATCCACGTGATGCTGGAAAAATATTTTGATCGAAATTAAATTAAGGGAACACCACGTCTCCAACAAATAAGTTAAAAATGAGCTTTAAGAAAAAAAATTGTTTTTTGGACCAGTTCCCTAAATATAGAACCTCATTAAAACTGAAATTAAATTATCCCATATTTAACTACTGAATATTATTAATTTCCGTTCTGACCCATTTTCAGTCTAACTAAAAGTCTTAAAATAGAAGCATTCATAGTTGCACTCGCAATAATTAAATTAGAAATAGTAACTATGCTACGAAACACTGCATCATTTGTGCTTTTCGGTTTCATCTCTTACACTTCATCCCTCGTCTAATATGCGTAACACTCTGACAACACAATAACTCTGTGTTTAGTGTTACACTAAAGAAGGATAATTTATGTATGCTTATTTTTATCAAAAAAATGTATAACGTCATCTTCAAAAATTATTAAATTATTGTTTAGTGATCAGCGCGTATTTCATACGAGAAAAATTCTGTGCAAGTTGCTTAACAGATATTTTTTGACGGTTACATAAAAATCTATACCTACTACGAGCCCTAACAACTAAATATTGGGCCACAGACAATTTCTCAAAAAAATCCGGTAGATATTTTTGATATCATTCAATTCGTTTGGACTAAATGCAAATTTTGCATGGGCATCTATTTTGGCAGAGAGTGAGGTATTTTGCAAATTAATAAATTTTCTTAGAGCGCAAAAATTGTCACCTAACTAAAAAATGTGCAATTTTTGCTGACATTTAAATGTTGGGACACCCGAGAAAATTTGCTAAGTATACCATCGAAATACAAACGTAGTAGCTGGTAAATGCTGCCATTATTATAGGGATCGTAGCATTTCAAGCTAGTGTTGGTTTTATTTAGAAAAAAATAGTTATCGGCGGGCTAGTTTTAGTAAAAGTTCTGAAAATAATAATTTCTCAGTACCTCAAGGGAAAATCGCTAAGAAAAAGTGAAGATTTGTTCCAAATAGCTTAGTCGTCGATGGTAAATGTCGTAAAATATTACGCAGACAGAGGTACCATCGGAATAAAAGGTAAAATTCCCGTTAGGCCACCACTTGTGAAGCCGCGTAATCAACGACAACTGATGAAAATTTATAAAAGTGGACGACGGACTACTTCAAGAGAAATTACTACTTGCTGGAATAGCGATAACCAACTAAATTTTTCAAGACAATATTGTCGCGAATGCATACACAAATCAGGCCTTGGTTTTTACATTGTAAATCTTAAATAAAGCTATCTTTGATGGACTTTATTATTTATTTATATTATTTTAGGCTAAAGTAAAACCACAATTAAAAACTGCCCACAACAAAAATCGGTTAATATGAGCAAAATGAAAATTGGAGAAAAGTAATATATAACGCTGAGTCCAAATTTGATGTCTGGGTGAAATAATAGTCGAAAAAGAGTTATTGAAATAAAAAAGGAATTTTAATATGGATTATCTCAAACAAAGAGTCATGTTTGCAAGCAGAAAAATGGTTTGGGGGTGCATGTCTATTAACAGAATTTAAAGACCAGTTAACAACGTTGATGGAAGGGTAATTACAAATTCAAACAAATATCAAGAGACTTTGTAAAAAAATATTAACAACTACTGAAAGCAGTCTATCCTGTTGATATTTATATTTTTCAACAGGATGATGCTTCAAGTTACACACCTACAACACTTATTACAAAGAATAATAATATAAATGTTTGCCCTGATCATCGAATAGCCCAGATCCTAATCTAGTAGAGACGGTATGGCGTGAAATAAAAAAATATTTAGGAAATCATCCATCACAAACGATTGTCAATCTTCAACGGGAAATTTAGCGAGTGTAGCATACGGTAACAACTCCTGTGTATTGTAGAAAATTAGTTGAAAGTATGATGGCAAGAATTCCTGCAGTTATTAAGGCAAAAGGAGATATGACCAGTTACTGAATTTGCTGTGTCCCAATATTTATGTGTCACAAAATGTTACGTTGTTTTAGAGTTTTATGTCACTGTTTGAGTTAGAAATCAGTTTTTGTTGTGCTGTAAACATTAACAGTTTTGCAAAACGAATTAATTTTAAAATTTTAATTATCTAAAATAAATTACATTTTTGTTAAAAAGTTTGGTGATTTTTTTATAAAAATTTTTTGGTGTCCCAATATTTAGTTGTTAGGGCTCGTATACCTCAATTTAAAAGAGCAAAGTTACATAAAACTAATACCTATTTGACACAATTTGTGTTTTAAATTATTATTTATGTGGAAATAAATATACACATATTACTTACGTATTGTTAAAATAAAAAACCTAAAAATAAACTTAAAAATAATCTTTTCTAGTACTTTATATTCCACACAGTGGCGGCTCGTCAGATGAGGCAAGTGAGGCGGCGCCTCACAGCATATATCTTAAGAATAGATTGACTTAATTTGTAATTGAAAAGGAGCCTTCAATGCATTTTTAGTTACAAAAATATGTTGAAATGGCAACTCTGTAGATGATTTTTTATTTTTTACGCTTTCTGCTGACATTTTTGGTTGAATACCGTACGATTTATGCTCCTAATTCTTTAACTGAAGCGGCCAGAACGTCGGCTCACTTGAAGCAACGAAGCCCAATCATAGACACGGATTTCCATGGCTCAGCTCCTATACTCCTATACATGCGTTCGCTCGGAACTGAGGCGATATCTTCGGTGCTTCTCGGCCATTTTCGGCGTATTCATTAAACCATTTTCCCATTTATTTTACAGAACGGAAGGGCTGCGGGGTGCGTGGGTAATTAGCATGAACGTGAGTAAAAGCCCACGTGTTGATGTTTCGTACTTTTGTCTCTTTCATAGGTACAGGTGAGTGAAAAATGAATCCCGAGTACCATATCGTCATGTTCCTTCTTGAAACGCCGTTTTCACGGCGAACCGAGCTAAAACGTCAGCAAATTTTGCTAAATATCGAGCAATCAAAACCATTAATTTATTTAACTTCCATTGATAAGCGACAGAATCGTCAGTACTCCAAGTCTTTTAAATCAACTTGGTACGAAACACATAAATGGCTCTGCCGTAATATTTGACGTCCCGGGATATAATAACGACCTAAATTATTCCATCCAAAATGCAAAGTTACATGAAAGTTCCAAAGTACATATTAAAAATTTCATGGGCCTAAAACCTTTACAAAGGAACACAACAACTATTCCCGAATCCCTCCAAGAAACTGCTAGTTTGAACAAAATTTTGACTTGTAAAAATATTGTTGATTAAATGTGTTATGGGTGTTACTATTAATATTATTATTATTATTATTAGGACCTGCCACTGACCCGGAAATGACCGGTATTCGGGCAAGACTTCTATCATTACTAATTAGTAAGACCAAGTAATATGCATTAATCACATTAATTTAATTAATTTGATTATTAATATTATTATTGTCAAACTTCTATCATCGCCTCACCACATCAGACAGTCACGAGCCGCCACTGATTCCACACATAGACTGTTTCAGTTAACCAAGGTTAATTAAAGGTAAATCTGAGACAATGTTTTATATTAGACCATTGCGCCCTAGAATGAGGAGTAGAATCCGTTAGTGAAAACCGTCGAAAACCGTCTGTTTTTTGTAGTTTAGGTACCATAGAAACTGTACTTGGATCATTAGCAGTAATATCTCTGACATGCGTTTTTAAATTAGAAATGTATTAGAAAAAAATTGGTCTAGATCTAGACTGAACTTCCCTTACCTCTGAAGTACAGTGAACCAATTTAGTTCAGCAAATTTATTTTATTTTTATTGAAAATATTTTGAGACAGCCTGTATAAACAGCTTCAAAAAGAGGGTCATGTGAAGAAAATATATCGCACTGTGAGAGCAATACTCACGTAACTCAAAACTAGCGTGTTTTGAGTAATGATGATTTAAAATTCCCAAGTTTTCATATATTATTTGTATCTTAAATACTAAAGGCTTCGAAATACATTATAGTCGTATTGTCAATCTATTATTAAGCGTGTTTTTATTCCTTTAGAGTAGACCCCTCTACTCGTTATAGAAAACAAGAAATTTTGACTTACGTGACTATTGCACTGCTACACCATATCAAATATTTTGCCTTGCGTGTTAATAAATTTAAGACAAGAGCAAACTAGCAACACATTGTAATGAAAAAAATATAACAAAACACAAAACAATCACAGTATTAATTCATTCAACATCTACACTGACCTGCAAAAAAAACCGGCCACCCTGAAAAATTTTGCAAAACCACTTTAAAACTTAATTTAACTAGTGATCGTTATTTTATTAAAGAATCATTCACTATTGACACATGATGTACAAATTAGCACAAAAAAGAAGACAATTAAACGCAGAATTAAATTTAATTTAACAAAATAGGTAACAGAAACAGACCAAGTACGATCTTTTCTTAAAAAAAAAAAAACAACAACAAAGGAGGCTGTTGTTGTAAATAGTGTTTTTCATCGTTTGATTATAAATTTGGCAATTAATAAACGTTTTCACGCGAAAATAATTCCGTTAACTCTTACAGACGTCTTTCAAAGTGTCGCTCTGTTTCTGTTATTTTGTTAAATTAAATTTAATTCTGCGTTTAATTGGGTTCTTTTTTTTGCTAATTTATACCTTATATGTCAATAGTGAATGGTTCTTTAATAAAATAACGATCACTAGTTAAATTAATAATTTTTAAAGCTTCGTTTTGCGAAATTTTTCAGGGTGGCCGGTTTTTTTTTGCCGGTCAGTGTACTATGGCTAAATTGTTATAATTTTATTTCATTCATTTTTTTATACATAATTGATTCAGTCCATCGTATTTTTTACGTATTGCTAAAAGACCTTCATAAATATTGTTTAATCATTTTCATTTAAGTCTGATGCCGCCGTTGTCGTGATGTTCGGGAATTGATTGACTATTATTTCCTGATATACTTTCTTTCTATACGAAGTTACAAAATTCCATCGGAATTTTTGACAAATCTTAAATTTTGTATTTCGCTGTAATTAACTTTCATACTTTTCCTATTCAAAGAAAAATTGATTTCCATGTTTTCGGTCAGTTCTTAACTATATCAGAAGACATTGTGCATTTGTTGTGTTCAATTTGTACCTAAATTAGTAGGAGTATCAGATTTTCAACATCGACTGAAATCTCATAGCTTCATAGCTTACGTGCATTTCACTTAGTTTTGAGATACGGCAGTCTTGCATTAAGTGCACACGTATTGTTCGGAAATGCAATACAAACATTTTGATGAATTTGAGCATTACGCAACTATTAAAAACCGTTTATACGTTTATATACTAAAACTACATTAACTTTTTTATGCATTAATGATAAATTTAAGAATTCGGCAAATTTTGACTTACGTGAGTATTGCTCTCACAGCGCGATATGCAAGGAAGCATGCTGTTTTGCACAGTTCAAACGAGATTTACGTAGCAAAATTTTGACCTGACGTCAAGGACACTCAGAAGAAAAAAAGCTTAAAAAACCTTTTTCTTTCACTTGTAAAAAATTTTGGCAAAGTCAGTACTCAACTAATCTTGTATTTTACAATTCACCGCTATGTATATTTTGTCTTCTCAAAAAAAAAAAAAAATGAGCAATACAAGATAGGCTGGATTCGAAATAAGTGGCTTTGAAGGCATAAACTAAATAAATATTATTTACATGCTAGGACTTGTTTAATAATGTTTTGGAATGTTATAAATATAACGAACGGCAAACTAAATATATGTAATGTACTAATCAAATACTTTTAGAAAAATGTATATTTAATTATTTCTTTCGCTGACTTTGTGAAGAAATTGGGTAAAAACATTACAAAACATACTACAGAAACGGAGTTGAATCAGGAAGTGCAGCACTTCCAAATTTCTATAAATCATCTTAATACACAAATTCTTTAAAAATGTTAATTGATAAATTAAAATACGCAATTAAATTTTTATGCATCAAGCCAATATCTGTAAAATAAAAAATTACTCTCTACTCTTTCAACCAGTGTAGAATGAATGTTATACATCAAACAAACTACAACAATTTGAGTGTCAGCAGTTATTAAATCTTAGTTGCGAACATAGTTCTAGAAGATACAATTACGAAGATATATAAAAACATTTTTATTCTGATGATAAGAGAAAAATGTTTAGAATAATAAACAGTTTTGCAAAGTGATGACTAACTGTAATAAATTTAACAAGTAACTGTTTCGATCTCTGGTGTCTCATCAAATAAGACCATGATTATTATTTTTTTTTACAATACACCTGTACGTAACGGTGAAAAGAGGAGTGGATTATTAAGCCACAGGCAACGGAACACAACTCATTTAATGACCAAAGAATTTATATCAATTTTCTTATGAAGGCAATACCTCTTCTATTAAAAACATACTTTTGGTTATATTTTGAAGTTATTTTTTATCATTATTACATGGCGCTTTTCCCAATGGTGGCAATTTGGGAATATCAAACCTTATAGCAAGTGCCGTACTTAGTTAGATCTATATTGTATATAAAATATACATATATAATACAGAGTTTTTATACATTTGTTACTTCTTAGAATGGTAGACATTTTCAAGTTTTAATTAATGTGTTATATGTCAGAATCATTACAACATTTGAAGTTTCGTTGCCATTATAGTTACACACTCTGAAAGAGACTCAACAAATAAGTGTCCATGTTGATATACAAATGATTTATGGAAGCCCTGTAAAATGTATTCCTAAAGTTTCCTTTTTTGAATACTTAATAATTTTGACAACAGGGTACAGAAATGTGAAATTTTACATTTGTTAATACTTTAAGACAGCAAGTAGTTTCTATAAGAAACAAAAATACTAATTTATGTCAACATGAAGCATAAAACTGAAACGTTTAAAAATAATAAATGCGCTTAGGGTTTAGTATTTCACAATATTGACGAGACTTGCCAATATTTCATATGCAATAATTTGCAATTTATAATTAAATTCCACTACTTTTATGGTTTTTAAGATTACTATATTTTTTGCAAATTGCAAGTTAATTATAATCTGGTGCAAGCACTTCCAGAAACAGCACACTGAACTCATGGAATTTACAAAAAGATACTTACTGACAGTGAATCTTCTCCTACCAAGCTGCTACCAACAGCTAGAATATTAGGTGAATAAAACCGCTCATACATTGAAGCCGCTTGGCAGGTATCAATCATAAAAAACAATTCATGATACCTAAAACAACAATCCAAGTTCTATATCTCTGCAATTTTTCCACTTCACCTTTGCTTCTGCCACATTTGCTCCAAAGCATCTGCCATCTCCTGACTTGTGATCTCCTCAGAATCCTGAAACTTCAAAAACCCATCTCCACCATGCCCTGTTAAATAAATAAGCACGTTGCTACCCTCATCAGTAATCAGCTGTTTCGATCTGGGAGTACCTGGTGGTAATCTTCCTGTTAGAAGACGCACAAAATTTTCAACAGTAACCTGCAACAATTAAATTAATTATGAAATATAACGCGTTAAGGATATAATTACTTCATATCCTCGATAATCCACCTCAACGTCATCCCCATATACGTTAATATGTTGATTAGCGTTATTGAAAACTGTCGCTGGACGCGGATTTCTAGGATTACAAGCCATGTCATCGGCAATCATCAAAATTATCTGGCTATCGGGTATACCAAGGCGCTTGACGCTTCTATATATCGAAAGTACGTTGGCTACATGCCGGTAATTGAACCAGAAACGACTCGTGTCGACTAAGACAGCCCAGTTGTTCGTGTGTCCATTTTTTGGCAGTTCGAACTCCAACTAAAAATCATTGTAAGTAACACGCAAAAACAACTAGCGTCTATACCTGTGCTCTATTTTGGTGTAAACTACTTAGGAAAATCACGGAAAAGCACAAAATTATTGTAAGTTGTTTCATTTTGGTGACTAGAAGTTGGGGCGTTTGGGCTGTCACGAAGTAAGGTTATGTGGGATGCTGAAAAAAATCCGGTAAAAAAACAGATTCAGAGGATACTGATACGAGTTGAAAATATTTTATTTTTCGGTACCACTCTAACTTTTTTCCACTTTTGGAAATCTCGTAGGTGTTCGAAAGTTACTTTTTGTTTAAATTTCGCGCATTTCAGTCTGATTACACAACAACCTTGAACCGGATACCGCTATTTTTGGCGAAATCAAGTTACCTACGAAATCGAAGTACAATAAATGAGCATCAGTGACAGATGACTTGTCAGGATGACAATTAACGTCAAAATTGTCATTTCGTTTGAGAATTTTCTAAATCCGTGCTTATTTTCCTGAATTTCAAATTTTTTTTAATTTGGCGCGTGAGTACCACCGGAAACACCCTGTACTGCTGCGCAGAAAAATGCTCAGATCATTCATCTGGCATTTAATGCGCGCAGTACCGGTTCTCGTCGTCTTACATATTTTCCAAGTGTTTTGCTTATATACAACATATTTGACTCGAATGTGGCAAAGCTTGAGTGAAATCAATCTATTAATTCTTCATACAAACATCTTCACGTATCTGACGACTTGAACATTTGCCAAAAAGGTGAGAACTTTTCTTCTTTGTTGCAGGAATGTTTATTGTCCCGCAAATGAAACTAAGCATACACGTGGACTAAACATTATTTTAGTTTTACCGTTGCTCTCGGGTGTAATTTCGGGCCCTTGTGCGGTTTTAACGTTTCCTCGAGTCGATAATGCGAGTTTGCAACTGTGAGGTTAAGATTTGATTAGCGAGTTGATATCGTGGGGTTACATAAAAAATTCACAGTTAGGAACAACGAGGTTAGAAAAATCGGTTTCTACACAAGATCGGCGGTTTCTACATGATCGGTTCGTATTTTCGTTGTATATTAGATGTTTGCTTAAAAATTCCAGGCGTCATTAGTAGGTCAATAAATATTTTTCGGTAACGTCCTCGCAAACAAAACTATTTTCAAGCACGAAAACGCAGGATAAATAAAGAACGTGATATCGTAAATAATACATTTGTGATTTTTGGGTTTAACGCAGGTCATGCTCGCGGGTCAAGTGAGTAAACGGTAATTAGAGGCTACAAAAACAGGTCTTGTCTTGCAATCTAAAATCAATTGATTGCTTCCACATTTCTAGACATTCATTTAGCTTGAATCCCAGATGAGTTAGATCAATAGTAATACACAACTTTAAACGTACTTTCTAGAATTCATCTTGGATAATTTTTCACCTTATTTGTTTGATCACCCACCTTTGGGTCTACTCGTCAGGGAACTCGATTACTAATTTTTACAGTAGCCATATTTTTAAAAAGCTTGGGTACTTTACCGAATCGTGTCTATCAGTGTGACTGACGTGATACGAGATATGGACTAGAGGCGTACAATTTCCTTTCCCTATTAAATAAATATTTGACAAATTATTTATACATTTAGTTCTCGGTTCACCGTTCTGTAACGTACCTAGTGTTGGTGATTTGTTAATGTAAGTAATTTTTCTCATTGCTAGTTTTTATTATTACTTTTTTCGTTCATTACGATGCTTCGTCCTCGCTTATCGTACCGTTTGTTTTAAACAATAACAACAAAGATATAAAAGTGGAATTGCATATTCATTAATAGTCCATTTGTTAGCCAAGGCCACACTTTTACTTAAAGATTATCTAAATGAAAGTTGAGCCATTCATTATTTCAAACATTGTCTGGTTCAACAGTTGGTTGAACTCAAGAACTGCACAGTATGCCGAGTGAACGTTAAAATAATTAGTGAAATTTCGGCCTGTGAAAAATGGTTCCTACTAGAATAGCCTGAAGCTTCGTAGTCGGAAAGCAAAATACAAGTGTAAGTTACATTAATTACATTTCGTCGAAAAATTTTGTCAAGTACGACGCAGAACACTCTTTAAACGAGCTATTTTTAACAAAGGTTAGCAGCCAAATTATTTGCTAGAGGCATTTTTCCAAAACAATTCGTTACAAATGTGATGTTTTAATTAATAAGTATTTTTACCGAAGATAAGAAGTTTTTCTGAATTTTTCAAATAGTTGCCGAGATAAGAACGATATCCTCTCTGATAAATAATAAAAACGTTGTGATTTAGTAAGAATGGTGTTTAAATTGATATGTCCGTTTCAATTTATTTTTTGTGTGTACTACAAGATTGAAATTTGACGATGCGAGCAGAACGTGAGAATCTAAGAGAGCAACGAAAGCGAAACGAATGCTAGCTAGAAATAAAATTAATATAACCGAAGATTTGTCTCAGACAATTTTTTATTAATACGTTGTTAGTTTTATTGGGATTTATTTTAGGAATGTAGTTACCAGCTTGTGCTTTACCCGATTTATCGTGTTTGCATTGCGTACGTTGGTTCCCTTTATCTTTGCGAAATCTCTAAAATTATTACCCAAGAGTTGCAAAGATAATAAAAACCGTGTTGAAATTTTTGTACAAAAATGATGTAACTGAGGATTACCTGAATCGTATTTTTTGATAAAATTGACCGCGTTTAACTTAACTGATTAAAAAGGTTGCGATTCAAATAGTAGTTGGTGACAGAACCATAGTTTTCAGGGTTTGCTATGTCTGTTTAACCAACAACAGAATTATAAAAATCTATTAACATATTCAATAGTAAATAGTCGTCGTAAAGAGATCATTAAATCTGTATTTATTTACAAAATATGAAAATTTTCTAATTAAGATGTAGATTTATTTACGGTTACAATAATTGAAGCGAGTGAAGGAGAAAGTTAAAAGTTATTGTTTTAAAAAATTACAAATGGTTACAACGAAGAATTATTGCCCATTGTTTGTCATACCTTATGGTAACGTGTAATAAATACCGTATACATATTTTTTCTCTACTATTTACGCTTTTAATCATCACGAACTTTAAAACCGATGAAGCTTGACGTATTAGAATCGATCCACTGGACCATACTCTTGTGGTAATTTATGGTAAGGAAAAATAAATTAATTAGAAGTCCCAACTGCAAATTTTAGTTTATGCATTAATTCGTCCGATACTAGCTCTCGGGGGCATTTCGCGCAATTAATTTGATGGGCGTTTTCGTTTGAAGTTGTAGTTTTAACTTAACTTTCTTGAAATTTCGCGCTCTTATAAAATTACTTTGTTAGATGGGCGCCTTGTGCACACTTATTCGTTTTAAGTGAAAAAAGTCTTTCTAGCTGCGAGCATTTCACTAAGTGATCCGTTAAAAATGCACAACCAATCTTTTAATTAATTAATTAATTTAATTTAATTTTTCTTGTTACGTACAGTTGCTTTTTTACGTCCAAACCTTGTCGTGTATATCTCTAATAATAAATACAGTGCCTTGAACGACGTGATTGCTGTGTGAATAAATTGACGCAATCTTGCTGTGGTAAAGGTGATTTATAAATCAGATTTTTTCGGAAATAATCAAACGAGATATTTATCGGAGTACGGAATGACGTCAAATTAATAAATGACGCTATTCAATTCTCGCCTCGCCATTGCACGAATAGTCCTTCTGTAATTCCCGTAAAAACCCACACATACATAACTTTTTTAAGACGATATTTATGTTATAAATTTCCCCAAGTTGTGACATTTTTTGCCGACTAAAAAATACTTTATAATTTTGTTTTTTATCGAATTTTTTTTATTAAAAATTGATTTGTTATAACTTACAAGAAATAAATTTAAATATAAACTTAAATACGAGCAAGATTTCTTGGGCTTTACAAACGAAAGAACCAGATGATGTCACAGTGGGTTGAAATTACAAATGTTCACCTTGAAGGTTATCTTGCGAAATTTGGTTATTGTAATTAAGTATTGTTAAAGCAACCAATGAATGTCGATCATCCATCATCTTACGTTTTACTATGTTTTATTAGTAACTGTTGTGACGTAATATCACAACTGTCAACGCGCGCTGTCATCGTTGTTACTCAAAATAAATTATACACATAAACAATACCTGTAATCCGTAATACTTGTATTTGGAGCATACATGCAAAGTTTGAAATGAACAATTCACCCACAGCACTTACATTAAATAGTTTTTGACATTTTGTTCAACACATACATGGTTTGTCAGTTTTTGATGTACATATTTCGTTCCAGTTTGGAAATCATGAACGTTGGGCGAATGACTTCTAATACGTGTGTTTTTGTGTTGAAGATACAAAAGTATACGCTTTACCGAGATGGTGGGAGAGCTTCTATGTTAATAACACACTAGCCTCTACAGAACGTAGCATCAAGAAATTTTGTTGTGCTTTCGTCAGAGTCCGCTTTGTTTATAATTTAATTTTCATATAGAGGTGTTCAAAAATTTTGTCAGAGTACAAACTATAAGACTGCTTGAGTGTTAATCTCTTGATACCAGGCTTGATGCATTTTTTTTTTTTTTATATGTATTGGTACATGCGAATTATCCACAAAATTTTGAAAAATCAAATTCAACCATTTTACTATGAAATTGCACAACCGAATTCTTTAAAGTTATATTATAGATTAAATAAATTTTACTTCATAATGCGTCCAGAAGATCAATTGCGTCATGTCAGAAAAACTTTAAAATTGCTTATTAAATTTTGTCAAACAAAATGCCTTAAAATGCTAGATTAATGTGTTCAAGTCATGCTTTTATTTTACGATTATTGACACAGAATTTTACAAAATGAATGCATTTCAGTAGCGATAGTTGGAAAAGAAATTAACCCTTTTAGAACCACTTGGTTTATTAAGACAAATCAGTCTATATAAAAAATCTTGGCTAGTTTTGAGAACAGTAAGGAGTTTTCTAGAACGGTCTTGCTATATAAAAGTAGCGAAAAACAAGAAAGATCTAAAGCCAAAGAGTTGAACTCTTTTTTGTTATTTTAACACAAAACCAAATATTTTCTTAGTCTAAAAATAACCTGTCTTGCTACAAACACATTTTCACGCTTTAGAAAGTTAGGTTATGATTCACATTTGTAACAGGCAAATATATTGGAAGTCTTTGGTAACAAGCGATGAGTAATCATTTCATTAATAATCATTCATCACAACGAGGCGGCAAAATTCATGAAGTTTCAAAGTCAACTTGATTCACGACATTGTTTTATTTATGACCACTTTGTATAAATCGACGACACTAACACAAATATTATTAAAAATAGTCCCCCATTTATTTATTTATTGCTGCTTCATCACAGCAAATTCTAAAAGTCGACAACATTACGTTGCAAATATTTTGAACCTTTTTATATATAATACTGTGTTTTTGTGACAACACACTTGAACATTTCGTTATTATGTTAGTATTAATATAATAAAAAAGTAAAATTGTGCTTCGACTTGATTTTCGATAAACACAACTTAGAAAAAAAAAACTCCTTATGTTCAAAACAATATTTTTATCCAGCGGGGGTGTTCTATTGGTAATAAATTTGAGCAAAGAGCTATGAATTAACATTGATATGATCCTCTAAGGATATTTAAAAACATACTACATGTTGTGTTTGCTATTAAATATAAATATTTTTTATTGTCTTAGTGGTTGATTAAAAAAAATTGCATGCTCCCTAGATATAAAGAAACCTTTATAAAAAATCTGCAACTTCAAACAGACACATCATTTGCATCTCCTTTTGGCGTATCTGTAAATGCATTGAAAATAAAACAGCTTGACAGTCAATTTTTGACAACTGTAAAAAAATTTGGATTTTGATGTCTATTTTTAGTAGTTTTTGAGCAGTTTGTGTGGCAGATCTCTTGATAATCGAATGTCTAGAAATTGAATAAGATAAAAAAATTCTTCATTTAAGTATCTTCCAAAAAATTAATGACGTCATTTGTAATATGGTCAATCGGGCGACTGCTTACTATCATGTTTTATCAACCTTCATGCCAGTAATGTCGCACCGGCCTATATTTAATAATAATAAAAATAGCTATTATCGTAATAACAGCTACTCATCCAAAATAATATTTGGACGGTTTTGCTTCATTGTATCTTAATTAATTAATCCTCTCCTTGGTACATTTTTTAATTTACTGTACTGTCGGAGCGATCAAATCTTAACAATTTGTTGAAGAATCTGCATAATTGTCTTTGAAATTTTGGCAAGACTTTAACATTGATTTAGTATTCACAATACTTCAAAATTTATTTCATCCTCTCAAGGGAGTTGGTGACTTCAGCTCAGAAATACTAGTATATAGCTTTATTTTCGAAATAGCGAAAGCTTCGCAAATAGTGGCTTTAAAAATAGGTGCATTTTTGTCAGTACTCCGAAATTTGTGAAAAATACATCAAGTGAGGTTTAAAAATAAGATAATTTAACATACAAATTTTTTGAATTTGGCAATTCTGGTAGTTCTGACAATTTTGGGAGCTCCTGATAATTTCAGCATTTATGTAATAATAATGATATTTAGTGTCAAACAAAAGATACAATATTTAACTAAACGTAAATGTAATTAAACACAAAAATTATAACGGGTGTTCAATTGAAAAATCACTCAGAGTAGGCGTGGGAATATCATTTGACACAAGCGAAATGTCTGTCTTATAACATACAACAACATATAACAGGATCTGTTTCTGCCAAATGGATGTTATAAGACTAGACATGCCGTTTGTGTCAAATGAAATTCCAAGGCCTACTCTTGAGTGATTTTTCAATTGAACACCCGTTATTGCAGTTTATTAACATTGTAAAGAAACCTATTAAGAAGTGCGAAAAACATCAAATGGCAAGGTATCTTCTTAATCGCGTTGACCACATTTTCAACCGAATATTGAATTTCATAATTGATTTCATTAAAGTTTGGACCAAAATTAAATTAATTTTTCAGTAATTTAAAACCAAATCGAATTTCACTTTTAGTTTTTCCTTTAAAATAATGATTCTTAAGTTTATCAGACATAACCCTTGTTATAAAAGTATGTACCTTTGCAATAAATACCAGATTTAAATATCAAATAGTGAACGATTTTCTTTTGGACATCTCTGGTGTTTCTACATTAATTCCATAATAGACCAGATTACAATTGCATATTCGAGTGTGGCTCTTATGAATGTTAGTACAACATACGAATAGCACGTAAATTATAAAAATTCTTAGTCTGTTGTTTTATAAAGTACTTCACATATAATTTTATGTACATATTTATCAAAACAAAGTTCTGAATCTATAATAACATCCAGGTCATTGAGTTCTGATACTTTTTGGCAGCAAATTATTTAGCCTATAAGCTACAAGAGTATTTTAGTATTGCAGCTTTCCTAGAAAACGAATTAATTTACATTTGTCGTGATTCTTAACATATTATTCTTAAAAGACCACTAAGCGCGATATGATATTAAGTCATTTTGAAATTAGAGAAAACTAATTAACAATGTTGATGGTACGAAAAATTTTAAATCATCAACAAATCACAAAAAAAAATACGGAATAACAGATAATTTGTAAAGAACGAAACAAAATAAGTCTAACATGGCTACCAATTGTGACAATAAAAGGTTTAGAGACTAACAACTTAATTGAACCATTCGTTAATAGGACACAGGCCAGTATATATATATACCTAATATGTATTATTATACAAAATATATATCTTAATTCCTGAACAATGCCCCAGTCACCGAAACTTGTACCCAATCACTTCGTTTGACGAATACGCATCAGACGCGCACTAGGAAAAATATTGCGTGTTATTTTTTAAGGTTCTTTTTGTAAAATCGTGTTTCTTCTTTCAGTCAGCAATGAGTTCCGGGAGTATATGTTACAAATGCAACCAACCAGGTCACTTCGCGCGCGAGTGTTCCCAGCCGGGGGGCCGCGACGGAGGGCGCGCCTTCAACAGGAACAGGGAGAAGTGCCACAAGTGCAACAAGACCGGGCACTATGCTCGCGACTGCAAGGAGGATTCCGCGCGCTGCTACCGCTGCTACGGCGAAGGCCACTTCGCAAAAGACTGCCTTCAAAGTCCCGACATGCCGTCCTGCTACAACTGCAGAAAGCCGGGCCATATCGCCCGTAGCTGTCCGGAGGGTGGCGGCATCGCGAACGAAACGTGCCACAACTGCCAGCGGCCCGGACACATCTCGAGGAACTGCCCGGAGAACACTAAAATTTGCTACTTATGCCACAAGCCCGGCCACCTGAAGCGGGATTGTCAGGAGAACGATTACAGGAAGTAGTGTTGGCGACGATGTTTTTATTTGTTGTATTTTATATATACGTTATGAAATTGTCTGTTTTCTGGACCCTATTGTTAAACGGATGTTCTTATTTATATTCAAACTGTTTCCTATCTGTTTTTCCTGTAGACGTAAGGGAATTATTATAACCATTGGTTTTTTTTAATGTAAAGTGGATTTTAAAACTAAAGGTTTTATGATATTTTTCGTTTTGTCTACCAGTTCCTTCTGACGAGAGATGCCTGTCCATCCTGCCGTACGTAAGGGAGGTGCAATCTTATCACGTCCAACTAAATTCTTCTGTTTAGGTCATGTAACTCGTTCTTGTAAGAATATTTATTTATTTTTTATTGCATTGAACGATATTGTGTTTTCGTTTCATGAAAGAACGTTCCGAAATTGTAATTATTTTGATAAACGTCTTTATATTTGAAATAAAATACTTCAAAGGTGATACCGAGTTTATGCTTCCAATCTTCTTCAGTGCTTCACACCAGCGGATTTTTAATTTAGTTACAATAGTTAACAACATATTTGACAAGCGGCGAACAAAGGGAAGTTCGAAGAGTGAGTTTAAACTGATTTGAAGACTAGTCCTTCACAGATGTGACTGTTTTTGTAGTCCAAATTGCCACTTTCAGTCAAATTAATTTGACTACAATTAATTGTGGCAATAATTGTCAGAAAGCACCAATTGTTTAAAAATGAACGTCATTGTACCGTCGCTAAAAAAACAAGTATAGTAAGTATAGTGAACGTCACATCATTAACTGCAGCAGCTTAACATTAAGGAGTGACATACAATTTTTAAAAAGTTTCTTTAGTGAATAGGAGCTAGTATCAATTTCACCCATCACATTAGTCACAGGCACAAACAGGATATGGTGTGCTTTAAAACCACGTCCTACTGAAGCATCTGGTTAAAATTGTGAAAAGCAAAGGCCATTCCACTGGGAAAAGTAGAAGAAGCACTTTACTGGGTTGGAGTTTGTTGTACTCTGGACGGATAAATGTACAAAAAAATACAACAAAAATAAAGTTGCCAATAATCAATGAAGCAAGTAAGTGACATTTTTTTATTATTGATTTGAAGAATGTGTATGTGACTCAGAACTTGACAAGCTCCAGAGTCTTTTAAGTCAATAATTTTGATTAACTTACAATGTTACAGTGTACAAATCAAAAGAGAAACCCTTTCTTTGCAAAAATTTCATCATATTCTCTCAGAATTTTATAGAGTAATTGTCAGTGTGACGTGTTTCTTTACCCGCACTATGCCCATACTTTAATAGTCAGCCAGTCCTTGTTTAAATTTTCATTTGTAGGGGGGGGGGGTTATCATAAACATAAAATTTGTGAACTCAAATTGCACAAGTTATCTGAAGAAATCAGTTTTCACTAATTTTTTATTTATTCTTCAAGAAAAAGTACTTTTATTTCAAGATTTGTTGCCTCGGTGCAATCCGATTTAAATTATGTATAAATTAATGATATGTTTAAAAATTCAAAACTACAAGAAAATTTTAAAATGTATCTTAGGCAAGTGCTCTGAAACCTTCCAGACACTTTAAGCCACCGTGCTTTAAGGTTATCATAAATATGATAAATTGCTATCACAATTTAACGTAGACTAAGGACGTAATGTAGTAAGGTCTATCCGGCGAACGGTTAATTTCATAATTTTTCGACATTTCGTGGCCTCTAAAGTACCAAAAAGAAGATCTCTAGTTTCTGACCGCATGTGTTCTATGATGAAAAAAATTGTATTGTACGATCACTTTAAATGCATACTAATAAAATTTTATGACATAACTAGGATTATTTGGTTGACAATGCCGAGTCGGCTTGTCGCAGTAGGGTCTTTGTAAACTTGTAAGCCGTGTCGCGTGCCTACAGAATTTCCGTTCGTTACAAATACGGCCCTGTGTTGCCCCAAACAGATAGTGTTTGGCGGTCATACCTGTATAATTTATGGTTTTAGAATTTTACCGATTGGGTTCTTTGACCAAAGTTGTAAAATATTATTAGTATGTAGGTATTTAAAGTGATCTTAGTATATAACATTTTACAAATCTTGTAACCGTTATAAGGTGTATGGTAAATTGTTAATCAAAATTATCTATCTCCTTGAAAATTTGATGACGCCATCTCAAAATTTTGCATGATAAGTCGTGTCCAAATTATTCAAAATATTATTAATGAGTTTTGTGGTTTAACAACGCATGCATATTTTTTAGAATTGCTTACACAGGTTGACTCAAAAAATTAATTAATGAAGCAGATTGTTTTATTGGTTAAATGAAAAACGGCTAATTTGATTTTACCGAAATTTTGTGAATAAACTAGAGAACTGTTGCTACTAATATGGGTGTTCAATTGAAAAATCACTCATTAGTAGACAGCGGATTTCTGTCGGGCTACGTCACGATTATAGGTGGGGACGCGCTGCATCGCCGGGACTCAGTAGCGGGTGATAGGTAATCACTGAATTTAATTGTCACTTGATTCCATAAATACAATTAACGATTTATTAATCAAACGGCTAACTAAATGAGAACTGGAATTAACAGCAGAGTGCAACGAAGCAGCGTTATTCTAATCTCAAATAAACGAAGTGCAGCCGGTAACTGCAATGAATTCCCATCCCGTACGAGCCGTACCGAGTTTGGCCTTGTCTAGCCCGACAGAAATCCGCTCTCTACTCATTAGAGAAGGCGTTGTAATTTCATTTGACATAAATGGCATGTCTGTTCTTATCTTATAACATCCATTTGGCAGAAACATAACCTGTTATATGCTAGATGTTATAAGAACAGACATGACGTTTGTGTCAAATGATGTTCCAACGCGTACTCTGAGTGATTTTTCAATTGAACACCCATTATTACACTATTATACCTTTTCAAGTTACGATCCTTGTTTAAAAGTTAACAATGTCATCTTCAAATGTTATTGTGAAAAACTCTTTACCTGTATAGTTTTAACAATTCACACATAGCAGTCTTTGCCATTTCTATTGAAACACCACTTGTATGATCGTAAATTTGGCAACGTTCATTTTCAGAGAATTTTCTTACTATAAACCGTTCATAAGCGAAAGCTCTTACCATTTGTTAAATTTTAATCAAAATCAACAGGTGGTGTTTCAGTAGAAATGGTAAAAACATTGTCTTTATTTTAACTTATAGGGGTTATCATAAAAAATAATAAAATTCGGAGAACCAAATTGCATGATTTATTTATATTTGATACTTCAGAGACGAGGAAAGTTCTGTCAAAATAACTTATCTGGCAAAGTCAACTCGTCTACTTGTGTTAAGAGAAATGAAGTAGATTTAGATGAATTTTTTAGTGTATGTATCTGCTATATTCAATGAACGAAAGAAACTTGAATTAAAATGCCACCAACACTGTAATTTCTGTGTGTCATTACACAGAGCAATGAACTTACATTTTTTAATATGACTGTGCTGCAGTTCATTTCCCGTTTTATTATTAACACTAGAAATTAGGATAAACTGGAACGCTGGGTACCCTAAAAGGTGGAGATTCATATGAAGATTTTTGAAACAAAAAATAAGCGCAGATGATAGATTTGTAAATAAAATAATTGGAATTATTGTAGTGCTATATTTTTCTATCTAAAAATAGGCGCCATATTTATACCCTGGAGTATGCAACCTAACGTACAGTGCTATGGGTCGGTATATCACCCATTTATGTGGACTTACAGATCTTTGTTTTTATTTTATGTTCTTGAATCCAATGTTTATAAAGTTCACAAGTGAAATAACATTAAATAAGTTGGACGAGGTCAGTAAAAATAAAGTATTTACATTAAAACAAATAAATTTTATAACAATCTTGGGTCGGCAATCATAAATGCACGGGTCAAATAGTCTTCGAGCAGTGTATTTATGCAGATAGACTTCCACTGGTCCATTGGAAACGTAAATTATGAAATCTTGTTACGTACTGATTACTGAAAGCCGAAAAGCAACTTTCCAAAAAATATAGACGGACCAAGATCACGATCACGGGAAATATCTTGTTTACGACACAAACAAAATTCAGTTTAATGACCCAGACGACGAAGGCCAAGACCTTGTATCAATGCTAATAGATCTACAAAAACTAGTTTCCCTTTCATTTTTCAACGCATCCTCGTACCTATTCAAATTTCCCGCCGAACGTCTCCGCTGTCTGCGACTGTCACACAACCATCAATTTGACCGCCATATAAACTGTCATCTCGAAGCACGCGTGACATCAAAATTGTGACATTTTTGTGTAAATCGGCATAAATTGCGCACATTTTTCTCCAAACAATCCGTTTTTGGCGAAAATGCGCAATTCCAGTGCACGTGTAATTGTGTGAAACCACCTGCCAGCGCTGTCATTCATTTATTTACGGTGTTAATTTTTGAATGTCACTTGGTTGCATAAAAAGGCACCACAGGCAGGCATCTAAAAGTGTTTACTTGCCGCAGCATTGAAAATATTCAAAGACTCGTCAGCCGCAAAGGCGAAGAAGATAAATAGAAGTGTTACGTAAATTCATGTTTTGATTTGACGTGCTGTCAACTTTGAAAATGAAAGTCCGTAAGTAGGCAAAATCGATGTTTTACTGAATGAATGTGGTGTTTTTTGAGTGTTTAATTTTAAACAGTTTCATTGTTTCGAATGGCACGGATGTGATATGGTAATTAGTTAATTTTAATTAGCGGCATAATTTCTCGGGACCACGAGGTAGCCATTTCTGTCATGCGGCGCTAAACCCAGAACGCGATCAGTCAAGAATGTTGAATTGCACAATCGCGAGCAGAGGCAAAGGGGATCAAATGGGCGAAAATGATGCTATTTTTAAAATTGGGAGGAAGACGATTGCGAATGTCATTTATAAATAGCTTTTATTGACTATTTTGGCGGAAAGTTTAATTTCTTCAAGCAACCGATTCTAAGTTGGCACCAAATGTCAAGTGTCACGTTGCGATTTGTTTATTTCTTTCGAATAAATTTCAGCGTTAAAGGCAGCGGGAGTGCATTCGACGGTTTTTTTGAGCACCCAATAGTCATTAAACCCGCTTTTGTCACACCATCGTGTCAACGCGACCGAAAAAACAATGTGCGATTTTTCAAAATAACAAAAAACTTGCGCACTAGCCGATTACGTCCTGTTGTTTACAGCATTTGTTTCGCTTCTGTCAATTGTCAATTTCAGTTGTCACTCAAACGTGCTTGGATGTTGGTTTCAAAACTTGACAAATATCGGTGTATTTTTGCACTTTTTGCATAAAACTCGACGTCAAATAGTGCATCAAAGTTTGAACAAAACCATGACTGAAACATTGCTATCTGAAAGTTGTAAGTACATTCACAAATTCGCCTCAATTCCGAAACGTGTTCCTAGCGCGGCAAATGCCAAAAGTTGACTTGGAAATTCAACTGTCAGCTTGTTCACTTGTTATTTTGTTTACGTTTTAAATTTGCACACCGAGACGAAAGTGCACTTTGTGGGATTTTTTTTTGTAGCGACCTTTTGGTTTTCCGCATTTTGAGCCATGACGGAATTTGTTGCAGATCGTGAAAGATTTCAGTCGAGCAGCAGCACTGATGAGAATGAATCTGGTTCGGAACAGGAGGATCACCATCAGCTTATGCAGATTGCCAATCTCACCAACCTTTCGGTGGAGCCTACAAGGAAGAGAAGGGGGAATTTGCCTAAGCATTCGGTGAAGATTTTGAAGAGGTGGCTATATGAGCACAGGTGGGTAAAGGCTTGTTCTTGTTTGAGTAGATTAAGATAGGGTTATTAAATACAAAAAATTGTAGTAAGCGTTGATTTGTTAAAGCATTTTCTGGCTTCGTGATACAGTAGAATATGGAGAGATTTTATATAAAAAAAAGTGTTTGAGGTTTGTGTTTTACAATTTTCTAACAAGGTGGGATTGCTATTAAGGATTAACAGCACCTGTTTACATAATAAAGTTTACAAATAAGTTACATAACCTGATAACACGGCCTTTATGTCTTAATTAGGCAACCCAAAATACACGCTCAACATGAATTATTTTTTTGCAGCAAATGTATAAATACTAAAAGTACAATGTTTTTTGAACAAAATAGCAAACTATGTTTCTCGATTGGTCAAGTTATTAGAGAACTATTGTATTCAATTAAATTTTAGTAAAGCGAAAAAAGTAATTGTTGTTCTCCTCAAAACATTTTTAGATAGGCGATAATTTATTGATAATCAACTAAACTGATAATTTGTCGTTTGTGACGGTTAGTACGAGATTAAATCTTGTTTTACAATCATTTAGATCTGCTAAAACTCTAGAAACCTTCTTCCCTTAAAAAAAAACATTACATTAGCTAGTATCGTCAGAACTTGAGGTGTACCACGCTGAAGAAAAAAACGATTTGACAAGCAAATGGTTCTGTATTTTTTTTTTTAATATTTATATGCAATAGTCTGTGTTTAGACTCCTATTCAATTTACGGGTACCTACTTTTAAAAAAAAAGTAGTTCATCAGAGTACAGACAATGGTATATAATTGCAGTGACAAAATCTGAAAACACCACAACCAAAATTCCGTTTTTTAAGTAAACACGTAAGCTAATTTGCGTGGAATAAAGAGAAAATGCTTCAGATTTGTAAATTGTTTGAAGTTTTGTTGTATAAATGTAAATTTTGTGTTCACAAAGAAATTGTAGTATAATGGATATCTCACGGTCCATTTATTAGAAAATATTTTTCTTGTTAGTGGAGAAATTGACATACAATAAAAAAAAGTTTTGCTACAAAAAAATTAGTGTTCCTGCTGTTTTAAGATTATAGAAAATAAATATTGATACTCTCATGTAACCAAAACTTTTCTGATATTTATATTTTTTGTTGGCGTTGTGAATATGGTATCACCAAGAAAAAAGTCATCTAGAAGCCTTTGAGATTTAATGCTAAAAAATTATGTTATACCAACGCCTCCCTTGTTTGTGGTAACCAGTTTGACATTTACGGTCAAATAACTGGAATGTCAACATCATTATTTTAAAAATAACTTTAATGGCGTAGTAGACGAGGTTTAATCATACGGTACTATGTAAGTGTGTAGTATGTTTATTATATAACGCATATCTGTATCTTTATACACGAACTACCAAAAGAACAGTAAAAGACATAATCAAGGACAGCCGTGGATTTTTGAAGATTTGTTTTTGATCGTTGCATTTTCAAGCCAAACCCAGAAATTGACGAAAATTCTGTCAAAGACAAATCGTTAAAATTCCATGATTGTCTTTGATCGTGTTTTTTATTGCTTTCTCTGTATAACGGATAATTTGACGCATCTTATTACCCTAATATATATTTTTTTAAACGTATTTGTTTTGTAAAACATTGAAATCTTACAGTAGTCGATCCGGCGTTTCAAGCATTACTAAAAAGCGGAAAAGCTATGAATAAAATATGAACCGGAAGTGCTCTAAACGGAAATATTTCACAGTTGAAAGGCTTTGAACGCATGGGGTTGTTTCGACTCGGTTACGTTTTTATAGCTTCAGATGGTACGACTGCTGCTTAGTTAAGTCGTCAACGCGTTCACATATTAAAATTGACAACTTTGTTTAGAGATTGAATAAAAAGTGGAGTGGAGTCTCTTTAGGGCTGTTTAATGGTTACCAAGTGTTTAATTGCTACATAAACTGTAAGACATTAGTTTGAAAATTGACAAGTTTATTCTGTTTGATTTGTGCTTAAAATTCTCCGACAATAAAAAATCCTAAAGTCGGAAATTGGTTAAGATTCCCTGCAACAATCGACGCGCTATTTCCACCGAGCAGATTCCTACAACTGTCTTATAATTATGAGCTGATGATCCTGCAGTGGCTGAACTGATTCACAGTCGAACAATTTTAGACAAATTTCTTGTTACAAGTATTCTGAAAGGTTATTTTGTGCTGAATAACTATATAATAAGACATTATCCCTATGTCGTCAAAAAAAAATTTTTGGACATTGTTCATAGATAGTTCTAGTTAAAGGTGTACTATTGCATAATGGGAATAAATATCTAGTACTGCCGATTGCATACTCCATACAAACTGCAGAAACATATGAGAATATTCAACACTTGTTAAACTGTATTAACGACAAAAAGTTTGCGTGCAATTTGATAGACGATTTAAAAATTGTAGCTTTAGTAACTGGCTTCCAATCTGGATATACCAAGCATATGTGCTTCTTATGCAAGTGAAATACAAGAGAGAAAGCATTTCAACATCTGAAAACAATATTTCCTAAGCTTTCTGCTGCTAACATAAACCAAGGTAAAAACTAAAATATTACAGTGAATTTCAGTTTTCATATTATGTACGTTTTCTGTATTTAGGAATTTTCATTGGGCCTGAAATTCGAATGAAGGATCAAATGTTCTACGCCTATTTGAATGATACGGAAAAATTTACTTGGGAATCAATTAGCTTAGTGATCAGTGAATTTTTAGGAAACAAACGTTTCACAAATTATGTCTCATTTAAATTTCTTTGCTGATAATCTTTTCATCGAGAAATCAAGAAAGTCGAAGAAAGATTTAAGAGAAAGACCCAAGTATCCATTCTTCCCGAATACCTGAGGCTTTTATAAAGAGTTAGGTCCTTCTACATATTCTAGGCAGGTTATCTAATTGTAGACGTAATTAAATATCTGTCGACCTAAATCTGTGGAACAATTTTTTAGTGCTTTTTGCGCGTTTTTCTGTGTAAAATTAGAGTTCACTTCATTTTTCTAATTATTCACCGGACGATAATAAAAATTTGAATATTTTTGACGACATGGGTATATTATCTCTTTTAAGAGTTGTTCAGCACAAAATTACCTTTCCGACCATATTTAGAAAATATATGTAACAAAAATACTGTTCTACTGTGTTATCATCGAACATAGCTAAGAACCATCCCGATTAAATCAGCTTTCAAGCAAAACAACAACAAAAAAAAACATCAAACTCGATTCATCAGTTTGGGAGTTACGATGCCACAGACAAACAGACTAAGACTTGAAACTTATAACACCCCTCTGTTTGGGTCGGGGGTTAAAGATAAGAAAAAGCTTATCAAAATTTTGCAACCCAGTTGGATACAAAAAACTACTGACTTGCGACCTGTATGCGATGACTATAATGTAAAACCAGTGTGTCCAATATTTGCCTGGAACGACCAGCAGATTCCTTAAAAAGAAAATTAGTAAACAGCAAACCTTTCAACACAGTTCTAAAATTTTAAAAAATCTAGTTTATTTACTAATTTTATTTATCACATGAAAGTTGACAGTGACATCTTGAACACTTCCTCGTTTACAGTGGCCATGACAAAGTTTATTTTTGACTTTCTTTAAATATTTGTACTTTTTTTTTCACAAAGTGTAGTAGTAAATGTTCAACGCAATTATCTTTAAATTTAGTATCCAATGTGGAATTAGCAAACAATTTACACTTGTAACGAACTCTTTACCAGTCTCCGTTTTTGTCTAACTAGTAACGAAAACAGGAAAATCACTTGAAAGAAAACAGAATTCATGAATGCTTCAATACATTAATTTTGCTTTTTTTATTCTAGGTACAACGCTTATCCTAGCGATGCCGAAAAAATGACTCTCTCCCAAGAAGCCAACTTAACGGTTCTCCAAGTGTGCAATTGGTTCATTAACGCTCGTCGTCGAATTCTTCCGGAAATGATAAGACGAGAGGGCCACGATCCGCTCCACTACACCATCTCTCGAAGAGGCAAAAAACTGACCAACTCTGGTACGATGGGTGTAGATCAAGCCCGTGCTCAGTGGGACGAAGAAATTGCAACGGTCGGAGGGAAACGCATCCGTTTAGATCATGACTACGACGATTCCATGAATCTCATGTACCGCTCTGAAGAGGACAGTCCGAACGAGTATGAAAGTTCAAGTCCCAGCGAGGAAGAAAAGTTCAACCCATGGCAGACTGTTATTAGATATGGGGTTTCGAAAGAATCGGCCTATCCGGTGAAGAGGGGGTAAGTTCGTTTATTTGTAGGACAGTTATTTTAGTTTTTGCAACCACTACTTCTGTAGTCTGTTAGCACATAAATTGCAATGTTCGTTGTATACTGGGTGGTGGTTAAATTTCCGTTTATCAAATGGGCTGTGGAATATGTTGAAATTTTGCCACTTCGTTACGACTGTGAAACGATGTGTTAATAGTACGCATGCTCTAAGCTTGTGGCAATCATTTATAAACATTCATTTCGACTGATTTGTCAAAATTACTGCAAAACTGCTTCGTGTAAGCATAGGAAACAAATTCATGATAAAAAAAATTGGGCTAAGGTTATTTCGACAGAACTTTGTTCGCCTCTGAAGTGTAACCCAACAAACCTCGCTTCTTTGAAAAATTATAAAAATTGTTTACGATTTTTGTTTTCTGATAACTTCTGTAAAGTAAAAACCAGTGGCGCAAATAACCTCCGTGACCATTTAAATTAAAAATTTTCGGGTTTATAAACAAGCTAAATTTTTTAAAGGCATTCTGATAATGTTTTCAATGTAAAAAAAAAAAAAAATTGAAATTAAAGCAAAATTTTAAGAGAAAGCAAAATTTTAAGAGCTGGATTGGAAAATTGAGGTAGCTGTATATAATAGCAAAAAGTGTAAGAAATAATAATAATTGGTAATCAAGTGTGATATATTAATTAGAGCTAATAAACGGGTAGTTAAATTCAGTTTACTACAGCCACAAATATCGGTAGGCTCCTCCTTACAGTCATTAGAATCTGCCGAAATACGGTAAAACGCCACTTCCAATATCATTACGGTAGCACATATCTACAGTATATCCCCGGATTGAGTTCACAAGAGGAAAAAAACTGTATTTTCTATTACAAAAAAATGATAGGAATAACATTTTTTGCTTAATTCAAAACGAATAAATCTGCAATTAAAATTTTAATATTATCAGGCTGTGTCCTTAAAATCGAAAAAAACTAAAAGTAACGAAGAAATTAAAAAAGAAAAAATTAATTTTAAGAGTACAGACCAGGAATATTGAAGGCTGCAACTATAATTTTATTCGTTTTGAATTAAGCAAAAAATGTTATTCCTATGTCATTTTTTTGTAAAATAGAAAATACAGTTTTTTTTCCTCTTGCGAACTCAATCCGAGGACATACTGTAGATACTTGTTCGCAATACAAAAATCTTTATGGAAATAGTTTTTATATTGCATTAGAGGCTTTCGTTTTTTCATAAAAAATAAAAACGGAAAAACGTTGTTTACTTTTTGAACCAAAACTATAACGTATTTTGTCTTGTAAAAATCTGAAAGTGTAGATAATATTGTTGCTCACCCGGCTATTAATAGATATTTATTTTATTAGGAGTTTAAGTGATACTTTATGTGTCGAGTATGGACGATTAAACGCCGAGCGATAGCGAGGCGAATTAAGTCCATACGAGTCACATGAAGTCACTTAAACTCCGAATGAAATACAATATTTTATTTTCAAACGATTAATCTTCTTTTGAAATGATTATTTCCTATCTTCTTGCTTCATTAAGGAATTGCCTTGATTTCACTTACCATGGTTACTATGGTTGACGACCACTATGATTTTCACATATTTATACTCCGGTGGAGTATAAATGTTTTATTTTTTAAACGTCATATAACTGACACTTATATGACGCTCTTACCGGGGTTTAAGTGTCATCTCTATGACACCGTGTTTGAGCGGCGTATAAGTACTATTTATACTCCGCCGGAGTATAAATATGTGAAAATCATAGTGGTTGTCAACCATAGTAACCATGGTAAGTGAAACCAAGGCAATTCGTTAATGAAGCAAGAAGATAGGAAATAATAATTTCAAAAGAAGATTAATCGTTTGAAAATAAAATATTGTATTTCATTCGGAGTTTAAGTGACTTCATGTGACTCGTATGGACTTAATTCGCCTCGCTATCGCTCGGCGTTTAATCGTCCATACTCGCCACATAAAGTATCATTTAAACTCCTAATAAAATAAATATCTATTTTTCGTTAAACTATCCATTTTTTAGTTATTGTTGATTAAACATAAAGAGGGCATTTTTTTGTAAGTGTAGGCAACCAAACATCTTCTTTCGTCAAGAAAGTGTATGATTTACGCACTATTGAGAGATTAGACGGATTTGTAGCTTGACTACTGGTATTTGGAGGTGACTTCACTAATCTCTAATCGTCTTAAGGGTTTTTACTAGCAGGATAAGCGCCCACTGCAATTCTACCCACTGTACTTTTTTACTTGCGAGGACTCGAAAAATTTGTAAACTTCGTTAAACACAGTCATGATGGACACATTTACAGCGGGGTTAAACAATAAAACCTCATAAGCGCATTACCCGCAGTGAAGTCACCGTCAAATATCAGTAGCCAAACTTTAAGGCCCGGTTTTACAATGCAAGCTTAAGCGAGGTTCAAAGATAAGCCTTGGTTCAACTGCAGTTGTCCGTTTTACAATACATAGTTCAATGTTAAACCGCGCTCAAACGAAGGCTCAGCTGAGCGCTGATGTCAGGGTGGTTTAAGCTTCGCTCAACTGTCCATAACCTCAAACGTCTGTGCTTTATCGTTTGGGTGGTGTGACAGCACTATAATTGAAGATGCAAAATTTATTAGGAGTATTTAACTGACGATGAAGACGTTTTAGAAGTGATAAACATATTAGAACCGGCACGTATGCGACGACCAAAAGTTTTTCAGTTGAGAGAAAATCACTTTGAAAAGTGAAATGCTGGGGAATTTTTGAAACGATTTCGTTTTTCCAAGACTGGCATACGGTTTATTTTGCAACAAATACAGGAGCAAATTACATCGCGAACGGAAAGAAATCATGCAGTATCACCGGAGCAAATGCTCCTTGTGACTTTACGTTTCCTTGCCACTGGATTTTTTCTGCAAGTTGCTGGTGACTTTATAGGGATTAGGCCCGGTTTTACAAATGTCCGGTTCAACACGAGTTCAACTGAACTTGAGTTCAACTGAACTGAGGTTCAATTCATGCGTCCGTTTTACAAACACCGCTATCGTCCGGTTCAGCTGAACCACAAATTTCCTTAGGTTGGTAGCGCGCACCCGAGAATCTGACAGTTGAGACCACGTTGGGAGCACGTTGGAAGTGTGTTGTTGTTGTCATCTATGTCATCATGTCACATTATTATAAATTATTTGTGACAAATTCTGCAAAGTAATTAGTTTTTTGCGTTACTGGGGTACGTATATGTGTATATGTAACATTTGCTCGTTAATAGTAGATGATTATGATGGTTTTTAACATTTCGTTTCAGATGAGTAATACACGTGCTCCGAATTTTACAAAATCCGAAGAAAACTTGCTCCTATCTTTAGTAAGCAAGTATAGAAATATTCTGGAGTGTAAATTGTCCAACACTGATGCAAATCAAAAAAAAAAAAAATCAGTGTTGGAAGAAAATTGAAGTAGAGTTCAATTCTTTATCTGGCCAGACCTTCCGGGATCACAAAGTTTTGAACAAAAAGTACGACAACATTAAGAAGAGGACAACGAAAAAATTTGCTGACGAGAAAGCCTATGTCGGTGGTACTGGGAGAGGGTCACAACAAAGTATTGAGGCCACCGATGTTGATGTGGCTGTAAAAGAAATTCTCGGGGCCAAACCAATGGGGCATAGCAGCGAATTTGATGGCGATTCCGAAACAACCTGTAATAAGTATTTTTATGAATAATATGTATTGTAAAATTAAAATGTTGATGCTTTTCAGCATTCCAAAGTAACAGCGGTATAATCTGTCTGATGACGAAAATGATGGTAAATACTTTTTATCCTTACATACACTTTATTCAGAAATTTTTTACTATTTTTTCTTTATTTCAGATTGTTTTATGCCAAAAGATCAAACCGGAGCAATTTCGAGAGAAGTGCCTGTTATGGATAAAATAAGTGGTCCCAATAAAGAAAGTGGTAAACATTAATAATAATCAAATATGGTTATTTTTGTAGAAAATGGTCAAACTGGGAATTGGGCTAAATACTCCCCCAAAATCTTGAAGCAAAAAAAATTTTCAGCACTCACGCCATATCGTAGAGGTATTATATGTATATATATTTATATTAAAAAATGTTTGACACTTGTCTTAAAACTTTATTAATGTATTGTTTGTATAGGTAAAGGAAACCAGACAAGTGATAATTTAGAGCAATGTGCCGCTGCCAAAGAACTTGTCGAACTAAGTCGAAAGGAATACATCCAAAAGGAGCAAGAGTTTAAATTAAAAGCCATGAAAGAGAAACATGAACTAGAAATGCAAATTATGAGAGACAAAGCTGCACTTGAATTAGAAGTAATAAAGCAGAACACCAAATGAAGATTGAAATATTAATTGCCCAAAAATTTAATATTTTAAATAATAAAACTTAAATAAATAATTACATTACATTTTATTATTTACTGCAACTAAAAACGAAATCAAAAAAAGCAAATGAGTAAAATATTCTCTGATGAACTGGTTCCGCACAAAATTGTTCTGATTATAATTGCCACTATATTCTCCAATGTTTTCAATTAGAACATCGTTCACAAAATTCACTGCTGCTTCTTCTTCTGCGTCCACTGGCGGTTCTTCTTCATTTAAAATAATTGCAATGTTGTGTAAAACTGCTGTTGCCACAACCACTGCCTCTAATTTACACATTTTTAAACGAATTCCAAAAGCCAATGCTGGAAAGCGTCTTTTCCACACCCCAAAACATTAATTATTTGAGAAGCTGTTGCTTTACTAATCCCTATAAAGTCACCAGCAACTTGCAGAAAAGATCCAGTGGCAAGGAAACGTGAAGTCACAAGTAGCATTTGCTCCAGTGATACTGCATGATTTCTTTCTGTTCGCGATGTAATTTGCTCCAGTATTTGTTGCAAAATAAACCGTACGCCAGTCTTGGAAAAACGAAATCGTTTCAAAAATTCCCCAGCATTTCACTTTTCAAAGTGATTTTCTCTCAA